GATTAAGAATGGAGCAGAAAAGAGAAACGAAATGACAAAAAAATGAATTTTTTTCTCCATTTTTCAACCGTTATGACAAATAAACCATCAATGTTTGATGATTGAAAACAGTCATAATTTTTAACCAAAACCCATACTTATTTATATACCCCAATCAGATGATTTGGATCTCGATGCATATCTTTTTTTTTGATTTGATTTTCATGAAATTTTTTTTTTTTATTCAATTCGAATTCCAATTTCCAATCCTGATCATAAAAAAAAGATGTCTCTATCCGATTCGGATTTTCTATTATTGTATGATGATTGAAAAAAAATATCTGCACATCATCATCATTATCATCAACATAAAAATAATCGTCATCAATTGAATTTATTTGAACCCAATCAAATCGTTAATATTAGATTGATTTGATTGGAAAGGCATGATTATTATTGTACGTATATATGGTTTGCTGAATATACTCTACAACAGTAATCATTATCAATCAATCCATACAAATGAATTCAAATTCAATTCAAAAAAAAAAAAAAAATTCCTGTTGTTTTTTATTTTTTGCTATTTTCTCAATCTTCAACAAATTCATGATGATGATGGTGATGGTGATGGCGTTACCAATTTATAATTTTGACCAAAACTAATCGATCAACAATGATGAGGGAGAAAAAAAAATTCATGAATACCATCATCGTCACAAGATCGTTTCATTCGAATGAATTGGATGGTTGAATGAACACAATGAAAACTTTCGATTGTTTTGTAAATCATACAATCGAAAGTTTTTTTTTATTCAAAACAAGAAAAAAAATATATAAATTTAACAGCCAAATTTTGATTTTCAGATTTTTTTTCGTTGGTTGTTGATCATCATCATCATCATCATCATCATCATTATCGATACAACAGATACCAGACTCGTTGTTTTCTTAGTATAACAGAACATTGTTAAACGATGACCGACCTGGGTGTGTAAAGAAAACAAAAAATACAGGTAGTTTTTTTCTGTATCGATCAAAATACATCCATTCATTCATTGGATATTCGGTCAAATGATTATAGTGGCTCATACATTGAATACAGTATTATACAGTGAAAAAATAAAAAAATTGAGCACAAGCCAATATTTGATGATTTCGATGTTCAAAAAGGAAAAAAAAAGTTCCATCCATTTGATGATAATATGATGATGATGGTTTTAAAACCGTCTTTGGCAATACAACAACAAGCCAAAAAAAAGTTCCATTTTTTCTTGTATTTTTTTTGTGTGTACCAAATCAAAAAAAAAAAAAAAAACCGGAGAAAAACAAATCGATGGCACTGGTATTCATCATCATCAATAAATTTCAATTAGAAGGAAAACAACAACAACAACAAAAACAAACGCATTCACTTTGATTCATTTTTCATCATTTTTCTTGTGAAATTTCTTCAATTTTTCACTTTAAATACCAAGATTCACACCTGTATGTTAAAAGTAAACGATGGACAAACGGGAAAAAAATTGAAAAATTTATTCATCATAGTTATAACGATGATTGAGGAGAAAAAAAAATTTATTTAATATCTTTCGGTGCAAATCTAAACCGTTCATTGTTTTTTTTTTTTTTTTTGACATTTTCATACCACGAAGATTATTTTCTGTTTTTTTTCATTATTTATTTCAAACAAATAATAATAATAACTACAATGATCCAAAACGGAAGTAGAATAGGAATTTAAAAAAATTGATGTGAAATTTAAACTAATGTGTCTCTGAAAGAAAGATTATGATAAAAAAAAGAAGAAAAAGCATAATGCAAAGTGAAAACAAAAAACGATTTGAAATTTTCCGATATTGATCTATAGAACCATACAATCTACATAGGAAGATTTAAATGATTTTTTTTCCAAGATTTTTGTGTGTGTGTGTGTGTGTGTATGGGAAATATCGTTGGAGAATTTCTCATGTAAAAAATTTTCATTTTTTGGTTTTGTTTTCAATATTTTTTTTTCTCCATTCATTCATTCATTCATTCAAACTTTCACAATAAAAGATTTTTTTTTCAATGATGATGTGATGTGATCAGCGGTCGGCTGTATTTTTGGACCATAAAAACATTTGATATGACGAGGATATAAAATAAAATAAAAAAATCATAATTTTTATCTCTAGTTGAAGAATCTTTAGAGAAACAAAAAAGAAAAAAAAAAAATTAACCCAGATATATACACAGATTAAGAGTATTCCATCAATTGTTTGTATGTATGGGTATAAATTTATCTACATCAATTGTCAACCATACTGGAAAGAAAAAGGTATTTTTTTCCACTATATATAAAAAAAATATATTCAAAAAAAATAAATGAATGAATGAATGAATCACATTGAATTGAAAAGTTCTGAAACTTTTTTTGTTTTCTTTTTTCATCATTAGTAATAGTGTATTTTGGATATTATTAGTTGTTTAGCAAGAAATTCAACATTATTTTTAGAAAGAACCAAACGAATGAAAAAAAAAAAAATCAAACAAACAAATAAACTTCCATTCTTTGTTCCTCAATGATGAGTTGTTTTCATTTTCATTTGTATATACAAAGATGATGATAACGAAAAATAAAACTACTTGAAAACTTTTTGTCATCATTCATTTTGTTCAACAATTTTTTTATTTATGTGATGATAATGGTGATGATGAAGATGAAAATGAACGAGAAAAATTACCTCTTCTTATTATTCATATTGTCATCATCATTTATTTTGTTTCATTTTTTTTTTTTTTTTTGATTGAAATATTTGAAAAAGAACAATGATGATTATTACCATGATTATGATATGGGTTTTATTACAAGTAAGAAAAAAAAGAGAACAAAAGATCAAACAAACCATAGATTTTTGTCGAATGCTAACTGGTCAAATCCTTACTTGCCCATTAGACATCAATATTCATAAAAATCGCAAGACTGAAGCTAACCATAGATGAACGTTGAAAATATGTTGATGAATTATTTAGAAAAATTTAATTTAATTAAATTTGTTCGATACATAATCAAACTTCGGTGGCGCTACAACACCAGCATAAAATTAAAAAAAAGTTTCCGAAAGCAATCATCATGGACAGAAATTTTTTTTGTTTGTTTGATCTTGACGTGGTCATCTCTATTCCCATCTTCATGTTTATGAAAACACAATTGTATTTGTATTATACAATTTATTATCTTTAGATTATTATCATTATTATTGCGATCATGATGATTTATGATGATAATAGTTTCAATTAAATAACATCTAATGTAGTTATAAGCAAGCTTTTAATTATAATTTTATAATAATGCGTGGGATCCTGAATGTCCGGCTAATGTATTTATGCTGTGTGTGTGTGTGTTATGTGAAAAAATTATTTATTCTACAAACTGTTGATAAATCTTATTCATGGATGGAATAATTGAAAAGAAAATTCTCTTCAAAATGGAAAATTTATCTCAAACAATTACAATTTGGAAATAACGATGATGATGATTTGTTCACATGTAAGAAATATAATTGTTGAAAACATTAAATGAACATATCGTTTAGCCATTGAAATTTCATTAAATTGACTTTGATACAAGACAAAAACCACAAACAGCCTGTTATGAATATATCAATTATTATTGACCAAGCCTTGAACATTAACCATCATAAATCCATAAAGATCTTTCTTTCTGTTGCGTACGGTTTTCAAATGATAAATTAAAAATTCAAATTTTTAATCCAAAAAAAAAAAAAAAATTAAATTCCAAAAATGATGAAAATCATGATAATAGTAGTAGTATTTATGATAGGCCAGCAACAGGAATAATAATGAATAATGGCTATAACCAAGATTGTCCAATCCAATTGTCATACTCATAAATATTTCATCTATGTTTGAGCAGAAAAATTTCAATGAAACGATAATGTCGCTGATGATGATGATGATGATGATGATAAACTTAACAATGGCTGATGATGATGATGATGATGATGAAGATGGGGAATCAAAGGTGATCCATTGTTGGAATCTATTCATGATAAAAACACACACACACACACAAACCGTTTTGTCTGGGTGGTGAAATTTTTTCTTCCTACATTTTGTGTATTTGATGTATAGCTGGCCATATAAGTGATTATCTCGTTTTTCAATTCAATATACCATGAGATAATTATATAGATTCCGATCATCGTTATATGATGAGATTGATTTGTGAAAAAAAAATGAAAATGAAAATGTTCCGATTGTTTGGTCAAGATTTTTTTATTTTATTTTTTTTGTGGATAAATGTGTTGGAATTATTATTGTTTATATATTTCGATCAGTTTGAACTTGTATCAATATCGATATATTGATATCGATTGATTGATTGATTGATTGTTTGATTGATTGATCGATTTGTTTTGGTTCCGTGAACGATTCATATGATGATGACCGATGACAGTGGTGATTATGATGGCCGCATTTTTCAATTGTTTTTTTTTTGTTTTGTTTTACATTTTGAACATCTTTCGCCATATGAATCCAAATCAAATGGTTGAAACCTTGGCATTTAATTCAATTTTTATTCATCATTTTTGCGGATTTTTGTTTTGTTTTCATTACAGTTGAATAGACTATATTATTGTTTCTTTATTGAATGATAATTCACAAAACATTTATATATTATATATTGGTGGTCAATGGATTCAATTGGAATAAATTACAAAAAAATTGTTAGATTGATCATTTTTTATTTTACTTCCCGTTGTATAAAATACAAACATTGTAACATAATGACAACAACAATAATAAAATAAGAAATGATGATGATTATGATTATAAATGATGATGTGTGCGATGTGAATGATGAGGTTGATTATGATGAATCATATCATGTAATAAATTATACATTTGCCTAATAAAGATGTAGCCTTTATCATCATTATTCATTAACATTTGATTTAATTTGTCATGTTTATCATTCATTTGGTTGGCTTTGATTTTCATAAACACTGTATTGTTCAGATGCGGTTTTCATTGCACATATTGATGAAAATATATATATGTTTTATTCATCAAAAAATAATGAAGAAAAAAATTTAAAATTCATGATGATTAATGTTCAACAATGCAATGTTTCTGAGAATCGCGCATCGTATTTCATTCATTTATTAATTAAATTTTTCATCAACATCATGATGGACAATATCAATAGTTGGCTTTTTGCCCATCTCAACTTGAACAAGAGAAAATGACATATTCCCATTGTGTCGGTTATGATGATGATGATGATAATGATGATAATGATTGTTTCAGGTTGAAATTAGCCATTCATTTATGAAACTTAATCGAAAAATGTTTTTTCTTCTCATTACCTCTTTACCTGTAGATGGAAAACCACAACAAAAGTAAGATGCTCATCAACATAAACATTGTCTTGAATTTATTTTCATTTTTTTATTTTTATTTTATTCTTACCAGATGTATATGCATAACAACAATAATATACCGCCACAAGCCAAATATATATCCAAAACGGTTGGTTGTTTCTGAAATTTTTTCACAAGAAAAAGAAATATAAACTACCATCAACAATTTTGTTTGTGAAAATTTAAATTTTACAAATTTTTTCTTCTCCATTAATTGCCATCCACATTTAACCATCAACGACAAAGTGAAAAATTGCAAAAGAAAAAAAATCCTAATTCTGGTTTGTAAATTTTCAAACTTCAACAAGTAGTTCAACATTCCTTTGTGATTATGCATCATTAGCAAAACGATATGGTTTCATTCAGACGGTCCATATATTCAAGTAGGAAATTATTATTTTACACAAGAAAAAAATTAAACAATAATTATATACCACAAATGACAATGGTGATAATTCTTTCAATAATTATCCAAAAAGGAACGATTATTAAGCAAAACAAACATTTTTCATTTTCTTATCTTTCACTACCTGGTTTGAAAATATTTTCATTGGAATGTGAAACAATTTCCCTATTAACATTTTTTTTTCTTACTTAATTCATAAAGCTCATCATCAGAAACGTTATCTGATCGGATATATTTTTACGAGGTCAAATTTTTCTTCTTTCACATTCTGTTTGTTTTGGTCAATTGTTTTTTTTTTCGGGCCAAAAAATTGTTTTTTTTTATTGTTATTTCGTAAAATACTTTTGGGCCACACACGTGCATACACTTGGAAAGCAGATGATTTGAAATTTCATACGTCATACGAAAACTAAAAGCTATAGTAGTGTCATCCTCTTTTTTTTCATTCTATGTATTGTTTGAAAAATTGAAATGAAAAATAAAAGTGAAAAAAAATTCATACAAATAACACCAACGTTTAGAACATTTCCCGAACCTATCAGACCCGAATGATGATGATGATGATCGGCTGACAATCAGAAAAAAGACTATGCAAATGTAAAAGAGAAAAATTGAGAGTCTCGAATAACAAAACAACAACAAAAAGTTCTTGTCTTGTATTTTGAATCTGAAAAACGGAAAAAGAGTCGGGTAAATCCTATTTTTTTTCTTCTTCTGTTGATGATAATGATGATCCTTTTGGTGATGATGATGGCGTGATGTGACGATCATCATCACGAAAACGAAAAAAAAAATTCGACTTACCGAATGAAGTTTTTGTGCCCGAATTCGATAGAAGAGAGAGAGAGAGAGAGAGAGAGAGATGAAGAGAAATTCGAAAAGAAAGTTCTTCGTCATACCGAGAGATAATGAAATCATCATTCGTTGGATATAAAAACTTGACCATCATTATGATTCGGGCACCATTCGTTCAATTCATTCATTCATTCATCATCATCATATTCGTGTCACACTAGTGTATCAGTGTTTTTTAATTTTCGCGTTTTTTGTGTTCACATCAATTTTTTTCCCAAACCAAAAAAAAAAAAAAAAATCTAAACAACAAAAAAATATGGCTTCAACCTCATCATCAACGTATCGTACCCGTATGGCATCGGGATTATTTTTGCTTGCTATCATTGTATTGGAACTTGTATTGATTTCCGATAACATCACCTCCGTACAAGCTGGTAAAAAGAAGAAGATCATGAAAAAACTTAAAGAAATGTTACCAATGATGATGATGATGATGGTATGTACATGATGATGTATTTTCACTTTCTTTAAGAATCATTTTTTAAAACTTTTTTCATTTTTTTTTTGTTTACAGGGCAAAAAGAAGATGATCATCCCGGTTCCAATTCCTATTCCGTAAGTTTTTTTTGTTTTGTTTCATTTATTTAGCCGATTGATTTGATTAGGAAGCAATTCAATAAATTTGTTTTTCGTATTTGAAATTTCGAATCCACCCATCTATCCTTAACCCCCCTTTAATCTTATCTATCTGGTCATTTTTTTTTTTTATTTTTCTATCTGGTTGATGGTTTTATTTATTAATTGTTATTGTTTTTTATTCTCATATTTTTTTTTGTTGGTTTATTTATCCCCATACGATTGCGTCCATGTATTCGTGTGTTTGCTTGTGTGTGTGCCCCTCTCTCTCTTTCACTTCATTACGAATATTGTTCGCATACCAAAAAAAAAACAATTTACCCAACCAAACCAAACTCCTGTTCTTCTACTTCTTGTTCTTGTCCTTGTTTTCTACTCCTTCTCGAATTCTTACTTCTATCTCTACCTCTTGACCATCTATCATTCTTATCGAACAAAAAAAATCTCATATATGATATAATCAGAATGAAAGAAAGTGGTGGTTGTTGTCATGGTGGTGGCGATTATGGTATGGGAGGAGGAGGAGGTGGTTATTAAAACCAACTACTAAACATCCATCAAGAAGAAACTTGGAATCAAACATATAATCTACATCCGGATCATATAATCATTTTAAAAATCGTTAATTTTCCATTTAATCGCATTGCATATATTTAAATTCTATTTAGTAAACCATTATTAGTGTTTATCATGAATCATTCATCATCAACCTCATCATCATATTTCATTATATCCTTTTTTTCATTTGTTTTTCTCTCGCATCCCCTATCATCATAATTTGTTCACAAGTTAAGGAAGATTTTGATTGCGATACGTTCAATAATCATAACCATCTTCATTGGATGATCATTTCCTCCTCTTCCTCTTATTCCTCCTACCACTTCATCTGCTACTACTACTACTGATCTTACTTCAAAAATTTCATTTAACCAAAAAAAAACTCTATCGATCAATCAATCATTAATCGAAATGAAAACAAACTAATTATTTTTCATTGTCTGAACAACCATAACAATTAATTGGTATTATAATTATACTTATTATTTTTTCGTTCATCCAAACCACATCCATTTAATCACATCTTTCCTATCCTTTTATCCATATGTTGCAATATTTATTCTACCCATTCCCCAATTTCATAACCTTCACCTCCTTGATATTTCACATCAATCTTCATATTTTTGCATCGATCAACGATAATATCAATCATACAGAATGAAAGATGAAGGAGGAGATAGTTACGGAGGTGGTGGCGGTGGGTACGGTGGTGGTGGTGGTGGTGGATACGGTGGTGGCGGTGGTGGTGGATACGGTGGTGGCGGCGATGATTGCGGAGGTGGATGTGGTGGCAAAGTAAGCATTTATTGATAGATTTTATTATTTGATTTAAAACTTTTGTTTCAATTATTACAGAAAATTCAACTGACATTAGATATGCCTGATATGGGTATGGGCGGCATGGATAAATTGGGTGGAATGATGGATGGTATAAAAGATATGATGGGCGATATGATGAACAAAATGCCCAAAATGAGCATGAGTGGTAGTGATTGCGGCGGTGGTGGTGGTGGTGGATATTAAATATTTCCACATTTGCTAATTGACAGAACGAATCAATCACAAAATATTCAAGCTCATTACTAATGAATGACGAACACCTCTTATTTTTCTTTCATGCTCATTATCATCATTTTTTGCCATGCTCATCATCATCATCAATATCATAGTCCATCACCATCATCATCATTAACATCATAATCATCATCATCATCATCAACATTTTCATTTCAACTATCAAATAGCTGGTTTATTTGAGTCTTAATTATTACGCAAATCAACAAATCAAAAAATGTTCATATTAACCACATCACATGTCTTTGCCGCATCAAAATTTTTCCTCTAATCTTTCTCTTCCCACCCCCTCTATGTCCCAATCAAATTCACTTCTTTCCTTCCTCATGTTTTTTCTGTCTTCATTTCAGTGATTGGAATGGAGATGAAGAAGTTCCTATTTCCTTTTCCTTCTCCTTCTTATATTCCCTTTTTTCCTACAGCTTTATTCCTGTGACCTCGAATTTTTTCAAGTCTTTATAGCAAAAAATGTTCAACAATTCCTCTTAATTATTAATTATGATCATCATAATTACACTCCTTCCGCTTTTTTTTTATTTCAAATCTAAAATCTCAAATTCTGTGGTATTTATCAATTATTTTCTTCCAAATCATTATACGATTCCAATTGGAATCTCAAAATTTCTAGTGCAATAGTTTCAGAAAAAATGTGTCAAAAATTTTGCTTTCCCATTCCATAAACAAACGTAGCAGACAAAAACAAAAAAAAATTATTCAAATTTTTATTCCTTGCCAAATGTAGTTTTTTTTCTATAACTCTTCTTCTTCTTCTTCTTCTTCTCCTATCTATATAACTGAAGTTTCAATTGTCAACAAGTCTATAATTACCCTTTTTCCCTTATTTATCAATATATATGGCCTTTAAAATTTTTTTTTTATCCATCTAATTTCTTTCCCCTCCTCCTAATTCCTTCTCTTACAATCTTAATAACATATATATCATTTCATATGCTCATTGCCATCATCCACATTAATGATCCATAATATAAATCCTCATCATCATCGTCATTGTCATCATCATCATCATTCAATCATTTCCTGGTTCATTGTTTTCTTTTCCTTTTTTTCCAATCATTTATTTTTGTTCAAAGAAATTGTTGTTAAAGTTTTTTTTTCTTCTTCTTCTTCCAATTTTTATTTTCATTTGATGGAAAACTGTTTTTCATTTTTGTTTTTGTTTTTACTTATATTTGATTGAAATAAATACAATATATCCAATACATTTATATGTTTTTCACTTGGGAAATTGATTTTTATTATTATTATTGAAGTTAGCAGCGTCTATAGGAAACGAAATTTTTCATTTTTGTTTCTTTTTTTAAAAATAATAAAAAAAAGTAAGAAAACAATATCAATAAGAGTAACGATCATTAAGTATAAAAATAAATAACTTAGAAAACAAATCAATGGAGAAAAAAATTGATTGGTTATCATTATCATTGATTGTAAATTGGTGAAAAGCACCAGTTAATCAAAGCTAACAATCCCTTTTCACATTGGTATTGGAATGATCCAGGAGAAAAAATGTCCTACTGTTGAAAATGTGCTAGGTGTATTATTCGATTTCTATTATGATGATGATGATGATGATATTGTTATTCAATATCATCTGCTATAGTTGTTTGAGTATGTGAATGATGTGCTGAATCATTTATTGTGGATGTTGGAGATGATGAATTGCCATCCAATTTAATTGACGGCCAACATTGATGCCCATTTTTCAAAACTGCTTTTGTATTATGCTTTTTGATCTTAATTAAACCATTATTCAATGGCGATGATTGAGTTGGTGGTGGTGAAAATATCAGCGACATTGATGATGAATTGGATCGATTATTAGATGATGAAGATGAAGTGGATGATGGCGATGATGATAATGAACTATGGAATTCATTATCTTTAGTTTGCCCATTGGCAATGACTGCGGCACAAGCTGATTGTGAACGTTGATTAAAATGTTGTTGTTCATCGGAAATGAATATTGGATTTTTGGAAATTACCGAATTTTCGATATTTCCATCATTACAATCATTTTGTTCTTCTTCAGGAATGGATAATTTATCTGGCATCGATACAATACTGCCACTTTTCAACCGAGAATTATTTAATTTAAGTGTTTGATTATTATTGTTATTCGAGAAAGTTATATTCATCGATTTTAGGGATGTTGCAGTCAATGCGGTAGTTGTCGTATCAATATCGGATGATGTTGAATATGGTTCAATCATAATGATTTGTTTATCATTACAATTTCCACTGCTATTACAATCACCATTTTTAACAATCGTTGCTGATGTTTCATCATTAGCCATCATCATCATCATCATTGAAGTATTTGATATTGTTGATGGATTTTTGATCGAATTACCATTGGCTACATTATTATTGATATTGCTTCCAACATAGTTATTGTTTTTATCATTATCATTTGTTTCAGTGACCATTGCCGTGATTATTTGACCATCGGTACTAGCTGCACTTGGCCTTGTAGAATGATGCCACTGTTTGTGCATTTCATGACTATTACTTCGATGATGATGGTTATGATGATGATAATGATGATGATGATAACGACGATGATGATGAGCTACTGGCATATTGAACACCAAAGATCGATGTCCGCCGCACATGACCGTTTCACGTGTATTTTTTTCAGGTTTTAGCAATGCAATATACATCTATGAACATTTTTTTAAATAAAACAAAAAATAGATAACAATTATGCTGTCCTTCACCATAATATAAAAAGAATATATTTACCTTAGGCACGAATAGGCAGCATAATTGTACGGCACCAGACACACTCAACAATGATGATAAAGTAATAGCCCGTAATGGAGTGGTTATCGAAAGCATCACATATAACGGCAGGAATGCAAACCAAACGACACATGTTGTATAATTGGTGAATGTTATATATCGTGCTTCGTTAAAACCTTCCGGACATTTTCGTGTCTTAAATGCATAAACCGTACAAAAACCGATCAATATGAATGGATAAATAAGACTAATCAAATAGTTAAGATGATCAGATCCGCTACAGATGAGCAATGCAATCTCGCGATTAGAATATACTAATTTTGTATCAGGTGGTGTATGAAAGAACCAGAATATGTTGATTAGTATCTGCACTGATATCAGTAAAGAAGTGATAACCAATTGTGATTGTGGTGAGGTAAATTTGGGCCGTTGACAACTACGATGTGTGAATATGCGGCTAATACGATTTGTTTTGGTAACTATGGCCGCATAGCATATGGTATAACAAAATCCAAGAAAAAATCGAGTCAATCCGCATGTTAATGGTGTAGGTTTGGCCAATATTACAAAGGTAACGGCAAATGAAAGAAATATACCAGCCAAATGTAGATTACTTAATTCACGGCCACTAGCTTTCATGATTGGCGTTTCAGCATAATAGAAAAAGACAATCCACGTGCCTATGGTAGCTAACATGCCAGCAATGGCAAATATAATCGATGATATGGTCCACCATTCGGTCCAACTAAGATAAATGGTGGGAACTAAATGACATTTCGTTTTATTCACATCCGGTAACGTTCCCAATGGACATTCTTCACAATGAAATTCATCCAATAAATATTGATATTGCGAACAATTCGTACATAGCCAACAACATGTATCACCTTCAAGCTGAAGTTTTGCCTGACCCTTTGAACATGGTTCTGAACAAAATGATTCTGGAAATCGATTCATATCATGCTTGAATTGCAATAATTCCATTTCTAATTTCAATCGTGCTCTATTGTCATTTTCGCTAACTATATTTATATTGAATGAAAATCAAATCAAATTTGTTTCAAAATAATTCATTATCAATTTCACTTACTCATATAGTTTCCAACTGGACGCCATTGATATGTGCCATTAGAAAGACGTTGAAAATTGACAATTGTATAACGAGGTGGTGCATCACCATTTTTTTGAAAACGAAATAACCGTCCTCCTTCATCTAATTAGTGGTTGATTGATGGTTTTGTTTGGAATGATTATATGAAATAAAAATTCATTATTATTTTATAATGATCAACGGATTATCAATTAACTCTAACCTCGAAATTGTACTTTTCTTAGTTGTTCAATTATATATTCACCACTGATGATCAACTCTTTCATCTCATCACATAATCCAGCTGTACCATTACAAACTTTCTGATGAATTTGATTCAATGTCATTGCAAATGAATAGAATGCATCACGGACAAAATGTAATGATGGTGATTGTTGAAGGTGTTGATGATGTTGATGTTTAGTTACATCTAACTTTAACGATTGATTACAGAAGACCATTTCGGGCGATTCTTTTGATTCTGATTCTGAATCCGTTGAAGATGTTGTCGTACCACCATCACCATTTATATTATCCGATGATTCATCAATCATTAGCTTACATCTGAAATGACGTTCCCAGAATTCTCGAAACCATGGATTCAATTGATCACGTTCGGGTGGATAGTCTGGACGTAATGAACGAAAATAATCGGCAAAACCATTTAGTGGATAATGTAATGGTGTCACAGAAATGGTTCCTTCGACCACCGGTTCAAGGCCATGTACAACAAAATCACGACAACACCAAGCATCTGATGCAATCCAAATAAAACGATCTAAACGGCCACCATTTTTATTCAAACGACGTTTTGCTGCTTTCATTATTTTTCTGGCTACATGTGAATCCGTGTAAACAATAACCACTGAAAAAAAAATTAAATTAGAAAAATTTTGATAACAATTATAAATCAATATATATAAAAAAATCAAATGCTAAACTAAACGTATGAATGAATGGTTATGATCAACAATCAATCATCAATGATGACAGCAATAATAATTTGAAACAAATTGAATTTTGTATACCGGAAAATATACGTCAACATAAAAAATTGTTTGTTTATTTTTTGCGATCATCACGAATTGAATGAAATTAGAATAATTTATTATTATACTTATGTTCCAAGAAGTTTCAAGAAGATGATTGTTCGATAATCGTATCAATCATTCAATGTTTAGGAAGAAATTCTTTTTTTTCTGAATAAATTATTACTTAGTTATCGATTACATAACTAAAATCAAGCTGAGTACTCAAATTTTTTGTTAAAATAAGAATTCTATTGTGTTATGCGACGTGGGTTGAAATGGTCGCTCTTTGTGTGATATCTGATGGAATACTTGAAGTTTTTTTTTCATTTTTCAAGTTAGCTCCCAAATGTCGATCAAAGTAGTTAGTATTTTTTTTTTTTTGATTTATGGCCATGCTCAAGGGAAAGATTTTGTTATTCTGACCCGAATTCCATTGAATATATTTAGTTTTAATGATGCTTGGTTTCGTTTCTGGTGAATAAAAAATAGAATAGTTTTTTTTTGCTATCAAATGAATCACAAAGATATATTCAAGTAAGATGATGCTATTCTTTTTTTTTGTTGTTGTTGAACCATTACCAAAACAACCAAGCATAATCCTTAAAAAATTGTAATTGGAAATGGGTTTACCAAACATGCTATTATTTTCCCAACCAAATTCTGTTGTTAGTATCAAGTTTTCCTTTTTGCTTTGAATTCAATCATCATTTCAGAAAAACATTGAAACTTTCCTAGAATCAAGGAAAAAAAAATAGAAGAAAATTCTTTTGAACAATTGTCTTGTTCTTGTTGGAATCTGCCATTTTTTTGCATTGTATGGTTCTATGGCCATAGATTTTGGTTGTCTCAGAAAAAAATGACTATTGCCTCATATATACATACCTCTAGCATTTATTTTATGCATCAATGTTGTTATCAAATTATCATAATCGATTTGTCGAAAACGTTCAACATTGATTGCCTGTGGTGATGATAGACATATATTATAACGTGCAGCTGCTGTTGTCAATAGATCATAGCCATTATTGCCATATTCTGTATCCGAATAAACAACTGATACGTATGTCCAATTGAATTTTCTATTTGAACAAAATGGAAATAAAAGAAAATTTCAATCAATGAATTTTTCTATATTATCATATTTCATCAAATCATCTAACTATTATTAGATGTATGGAAAAAATATACAGCTACACAATTTTGTTGTCATTTCAAATATATTTAGAAAAATATTTAAATTAACACGTATTGTGTTCATATATCATTGACTTTTTTTTCGATATATTACTTGAGACAACAATTTAACAACATAAACGTCATATAAATCATATACATAAGTACAAAAACAAACATTTAAACCAAATGCATAATACTTTATTTTGTTCGGTGAAAAAAAAAAAAGGCTACCAGATATTTGAGACATATTCGTTGCCATGATTTTTCGTTTCAAATCGTATATCGTTCTATAAATTATTAATAATCTGGAAACTGTTAATGACTAATGCTTTGTACAAACACACAAAAAAAACAAAGAATTTATGCAGCAAAAAAAGGACATAATTTTTCGATTATAATAATAAATGGCACACTATTTCATCGATAAACTATTGCAATTGAATTTGTTTTGAAAATACTTTTTTTTCAAATTTCATGTGAAAAATTCTTCTTAGTTGTTTTGTTTTTTTCCCAGAATGTTTGATGAACATTCTATTCTTTTTCTAAAAGGAAAGCGTCACCAAAAATAACATGAAATTCATGAAGTGAAGAGGCATGCAATTGTATCACTGGAGAGATTAGTTGTTTCAACTTTCATTATGATGTTGTATTGTTGTTTGTTGATGTTTTAAATGTAAATCTAAAAAATAAATCTTGTTTGATTAGCTTCTTTTATTTTTAATTACAAATTAATGTTATTTGCTCCTTTTTTTGTGGGGTAATCCTTGACAAATATTAGAATTTGTCGTCATTATCTCCATAATCAATTTCTATTGAACAAAGATAAAAAAAAAATAATTTCTATAATAAATTTCCATTAAATATTGATTGCACAATTTCGTGCGTGTGTGTGTGTGTGAACTTTTTGCAAACTATGTTAAGGGTTCATTATTGTGATTTCTTCTATATAGAAATAGGCTAAAAGAATAAAACAAATTTTTCTTTCCATTCACATCCTTATTCCTATATTCTCACCCATGTACATTGAATTTCGGATCCAAATATAGTGAGTATTATTATTATTGTTTCCAAGGGAAATATTAATTATATGTAGCGTCTTGGTTGACTACATAGCTATGTGTGTGTGTGTGTGTGTGTGTGTGTGTGTGTGTGTGTGGTAACGTCAATTACTTTTTTTTTTGGTACAGAAATACAACTGTCATGTAATACTCGATTTTACCAGAATAAACAAACAAAAAATACTTAAGAAGAAAATGTAATACTCGATTTTACCAGAATAAACAAACAAAAAATACTTAAGAAGAAAAAAGATTTCTTAAGAAATGACAAAATGTGATGAAATGAACATAATGAAAATGTATCCCAGACCTTTAGACCTAGTTATTCTTTTTCCGTAACCACTGTATATGTATAATGAAAACAATCAAAATGCAACTGGGAAATATCATTTGTTCATCACACATAAATACATGATCATATTTGCTTTTTTTCCCGAATATTCATTTTCATGCATGAATTCTGCTTCATTTTTTTTTGTTATGCAACAAAATATATGTCTATTTTGACAATCATAATTAACATCTTTTTAATCATGTCTTGCTCTAGTACTAGATTCTTTTTTTTACTTTGTTTCAATTCTTGTTTGAATTCTAGCAGGATCATTTAGTTTTTATTTAGCACAACACAACATTAACAAAGTGTTCTGAGACAATGGAAATTCTATATCATCATTAAATATTAGCTGCAATCACAATCCAAATCATTTGTGGTTTTAGCATAATAGAATGCCGGTTTTTTTCATCATCATCATCAAGAGAATCAAACCAATTGTCATTAGTGTCTTACTTTAACTATGTTCAAGGTTTGATTTTGAGTAAATCAAAAACAAAACAAAAACCACAAAGGAACAATCATTTGAAATATTACGTAAAATAAAGAAAAATTAATGAAATCGATCAATAAGAAAAAAAAACAACGTCAACCTCTTTTTTTTTGCCACAAGAGAATTGATCTCAATGTTTGAATCAAAAAAGAAAAAAAAATCGAAAAGAATTGATCCATATAACATTGAATCGAATTGATCTCTCCGGAAACACATCATCAAGTATTGTGAACATCAATGTATCACTTTTTGTTCATCACAAAAAGAACTGTGTGATCATAATAGATTTATCTGGAAAGTAATAACAATTTTTATCTTGGAAAATGTCTACAATATATAACATAACATTTGTGTTTATGTGTTTGGATCGACTTGAAAACAGATGATAATAATTATATGTGTGAATGAATATAAAAATGTGAGAATCAAAGAAAATGATTCTATTAGTAACCAATGGCTGTTTTCAATTTTATGATTACAACTTTGGGAAATGTTTATTGATTTTTTTTCTTCATTCGATCTTTCTCCATTCTATAGCCAATACGTTTACTGTTGTAATTTTTGTACAATAAAATCATTCTTTTTCATAGCATATAATAAACAGAATAAATTTCATAAAATTCAATTCATTCTTGTTATCATACAAGTTATTATTTTATAGTCAATTGTTCTGTATTAACAAGAAAAAAATAAAATAAAATAATTGTCAAAAGTTTTACATTATCGGCCAAACAAGATTAAAAGAAACTTTTGCCATTTTAATTGAAATTTTTTTTTTTTGACATCCATTCACTATTCAATTGGTATTGTCCATGTTTCGAATAATATTGATTATAACTTTGAAAAAATAATCCTAGCGGATATTATTTTAGCCACACAATATTTTCAATATAACAACAATTATGATTATTACTCGGTCGACATCAAAAAAAAATTGATCCCATCACTTAATAATCAAAAATAAAAAAGTTTTTCGGCTTCAAACACCGAAAAAAGCATACACAAGTGGCAATCGATCAATGGCCTAGAATCTATGATGTCCATCTACAAAAAAAAAAAAAAAAAAAAAAATGGATTTGTCGTCGCTTGTCGTATCGAATTTGAATTGAAATCAATCAGGTTATAAAGCTATATATATCTGAAATGTGTGTATGTGTGTTGTATGTGTTTGTGAGTCAATTTAGTTCAAGAATAAATTGATTCTCATTCATTTTGTTAATGTATTGTAGTTGTTGTTTTTTGTTCGGCAAATTGGAATCTCAATTTTGTGAATCGAGTTTGACATCAGAATCAATACCTATTGTTCTATTTTAATGATGAATAATGACACGGAAAAATGTCATTGGCCCTGTATTGTGTAAATTAAACAAACAAACAAACACACACACACACACACACACACGATCTTTTCATCGGAAATTCATTTGTGAATATTAGTCAATGAACTACATTATACATAACACATGAATATTGAATATGAGTTCAACATCAAAAATAGAAGAATAGAAAATGAACAATATACTTGCCTCAGTATATCGATAATGGCATCCACTTGATTTGTATCCGAAGGTACAGTACGCAAAAAATATTGATAAAGTCTCTCATCCGACAATGTTGAACTGGTTGACATATACGATACTTGTGGTATATGGAAAAGCCGTAATAAATTCGCTAATTGTAACGATACTTCACTTGATTGACCACCAATTATACCAACAATACGATCTAATTCACCATTTTTGTACAAAGCTGCCGTTTGATCTTGGCAATGAAATTCCGGTCGAATGAGGCGACGATTTGAACGAGCCACAAAACTCTGTAATTATCCGGATGAATGGCATGATGTTTGCATCAGTGCATTTTTATGTATAAAAAGCAAATATTTACGGAAATAGGAAAAAGTTGCAAGAATGAAAATGAAAATGAGAGAACGAAAAAACAAAAAACAACATTAGAAAATAATTTGCCTGCAATTTCAAATATTGGATTTAATGTAATGACACATATTCACTATTTGAAATCAATCATCGACATCAATCGGCTAACCTTTATAAAATCAATAGTCTGTTCCAAGGCATGATGTGGTGAATCACATGAATCAACAGCCAATGCTCCCAAACGTATTCCAGGTAATATCTATTGATCATGTTATATACACAAAAAAAAAAAATGAATTATTGAAAATTAATAATTTTCATCTAGATTATTATTCTTCTAGATGAATATTCTAAATATATACTGTTTGTTTGTTCATGTGTTTGAAAATATTCGTTACATTCATCATATCATAGGATTAAATCACAAATTCCAAATTGTGTATGATACAGAATTATTAGAAATGATAATGATGATAGAATGTTGACGTTTGTAATCAGAGAAGAAAAAAATTAAAAAAACTGATGAAAACAAAATTAATTTCATGAAATCTAAACGTGTGACGATAATCAAAAAAAAAGAACATTTGTTTCCACAACCATTCGCGGATTTATTTTGGGATTTCCTATTAGTTTTTTTTTCAATTTTCATTTAGGATTTTTCAAACAAATATATTCAAATGAAAATTGAAATTGTAACATTTCGAAAAAAATGACAATTTCATTTAAATAGAGAAAAGCAAGAGATATTCAATAATCCAGCCAAAGAATTGATTAAAATAATAATGAAAAAAAAAAAAAATTTTAAATTCCAAACAAATAAATTTTAAAACTGACAACCAATGAATTCCAATTTCAATTGAAAACATTGAATTATCCAACAATATCGGATTTCCAAACAAAGTTCACAGAATATCCGTCTATGCTAATGTCACTGATAAAAAGCACGAAATAATACCCTTAAGCAAATTTAATTCAAAAACATGTCTTTTATAAATTAAATTCTTATATATATAGGAAATGATGATTTTGAATCATTAGTTTTTTTTAAATAACATATTTAAATTCATAAAGAATTTTTCAACTATATCAAAATCTAAAAATAAGTTTTAACTGGTAAATTTATTCAATAAAGAGCGGCTAAATTTGGTTTCTGTTTGAATTTTTTTTCTGGTCTGTAAAATCGAATCGTCGTTTGTTTGTGTTTGTTTTTTGAATCATGATCATATATGAAAAATGGAGAGAGAAAGAGAGAAAAAACATGAATTTGGCAAATGATGAAAAGAAAATCTAATTGAATTTTGTTTTTTAAAAATTTGTTTTTTATTCTTGTGTGTGATTCTCTCTATTATACTGTTGTTATTCTTAAACAAAAATTAAAAATAAATAAGCCAAAATAATCATTATGTGTGTGTGTGTGTGGGTGTGCGTTCTTGCGTATGATTGATGAACAAGATCGTAATCGATCAATTTTTGCATTCAAATCATAACCACCAATTGACTCTAGAAAAAAAATCGAATCGAATCGAATCAATTTATCAAAAATGTTTGTTGAACAATGTTCGACGTCGATATTTATTTCCTTGAACTGATTCTGATTTGTTTAGTTGTTGTGTTATAATTTCTTCTAAAAAATTCTCCTAAAATGACCGTAATGGCATTTTATACAAAAATTATGGATTTAGTTGATTTAGTTCAACGACGACAACAAAATTTGTACAAAAAAAAAAAATTTTTGGTCATTTTTCAGGGGAAAAAATGTTTCAAAATATGTAATTAGGCTAATATTCTTTAAAGAATTTTTTTTCATCATTTTTCAGGATTCAGGAATGAGAGAAAAAAGTTTTTTCGGCATATTAAAAGTTCTATAATACAGAGTTTTAATTATAAACAAACTTTCACCCCATTGATACAGGAATTTATTCCGGCTCATTTATTTCATTTTGATGATTTAATAATTTAATTTTTTTTTTTCGCTTCTTTCAAAATAATTAAAATATGTCTTGCATGTTGAAATATTCAAGACTGCAAGACCTTGAATTTTTTTTTTTTTTGAGCAACTCAAACTGATGTCGATAATATCCTCATAAGATATTCCCTTGGGTTTTGTGTGTGTGTGTGTGTGTCGATACACATCGTCATCAAATTGTTATTCTCACTAATTTCATTCTCAAAATTTTTTTAACGAGCTGTTGAGACGAATGTTTTTTATGGGTTCAACAAAAAAAAAATCTATGCCGAAATTCTAAAAATTTCTGGTTTACTAGATTGGTTGAGTAGAAAATTATTGGGCAACGACCAAAACAACAATAACAACAACAACGACGACGACAACGACAATATTTTCCCATAGGAATTCTGTAGTTGACATAATTTATTTTGTCTATTTTTCATATATTCTCTTTGTCTCTTTTATGAACCATTTCACATTGTAATCTTTCCGATTGTGTGTCCAGGATGTTTGATTTTTTTTTCTCCGGTATAGAAATCTCTGCTTATCATATTTCATTGTCATCTGTTTTTCTTTCATATGGCTCTGTAATTTTATGTCAACAACAATGAAACAAACAAACAATTCAGTTAACAAAAAAATAAACAGCAAATTTTTAACTAACTCAAAAAAAAAAAATTACTGAATGTATCCAATATATGAATAACTTACATTAGGATCATTATTGATTCGATCCAGAACATAAATCATTGCTTCCAATTGTTGAATACCTTCGGTCTTTGTTGCATAGAATTGTAATGAATTATACATACGAGATATGTAAATAGAAAAGAAAGTTTTAGATTAAAAAAAATTTCTTCCTATCGGATCATCATACCTGCAAAATTCCACATGAATAATTTGTTGTATCATGTTGATGGATAGGGAATACAGCACCCAACATAATATCTCCAGGATATTCAGCCATTCGATTTGTTTGTTTTTGCTGTTTAGACAGGTCATCATTGATTGATTGAAGTAATAATCTTGTTGTTTGTTTCAATTCAATCATCATTGTATTGTCATAACAATTGCCCATTAAAAATGATGATGATGTTATTATCATCAAATATATGAAAATAATGTTTCCGAAATGAAATTTGTTTCTCACATTCATCATCAATACTTTTGATTATTACAAAAATCTTATATATTATTGTATAGTTCATGATTTGCGCAATAAATCAATGATGATAGCCATAAATTAAATGGATTATTTGATGATAACGATATGATGAAAGTGGCCAACGGAAAATCACTCCAATCAAATATGAAACATTTGTGACGATTACAACTATTAATTGATTTGTGGTGATACATAATTTCAAAATTGATAATGATGTTGATGTTTCATTAAAATGGATAACATTGATTCAAGGACTGAAATATTGAAAATAATTGAACGGAATAAAAATAAAAATATTTATTATTATGAAACCTATCAAGTGCTGAATCAAATCAACAACAATTCAATGAAAAACACATAAACAAATATTAATCATCACATTTAAATGAAGCAAAATAATAAATGTGAAACATGTCATAGTATGTTAATATAATCAACCAGAATCATTGACAATGACAAAAAGATGAATCAGGTATGTAAACAAATTTATATTATCACACACTTCACAGTTCACAATTCACATCACAAACACGCACACAAAAAAAAACTAATGTTAAAAATCATAAAATTCGTTTGGTTATTTTTGGCGCCACCGAGGTCGAATATGTATGAAACGATGAGACTGTCATCTTCTGAAAATTCCTGTTTTTCATCATTGATTTGATCCAGAATAAATATTTTGTTCATCTCTATTTTCAATGCTACTACGATTAATGTGAAATTCCTTTCAACTCTACACTCACGCAAATCATACCACGCTTTCGCGCATATTTTTCTGCGCATGGTGATGCTGTTGTACGATTTTCGTTGTTGTTAATTTTTAAACCCATCTTGTAGCAATTATTTGAACTATCTGTTTGAATCGACGAAAAAAACCGCGCTTTAACCGCTACATAATCCCGCCCACTATTCATTTGCCATTCATAAATTCAATAATTCAATAATAATTTGATTTTTATTCAATTTAAAAAAACAAAGTTAGAAATATAAAATTATAATTGACAATGATTTATCTTTAGTTTTAAATCCGATGGAAAATATTCTTTTCTTTATTACCATTCGGATATTGCATGTCTATTTTCATTTTATTGCTTTCATCTGATCCTAAATAATTTCACCAATTATCGTTTTGCGGTTGCTGTTGTTCCATCATTGATTCATTCTCAATAATTTGGCAATCATCATCATTGTCATCGTGATTATTGTGATCTTGTAATGAGGCTTTAATTGCCACTTCAATTTGTTCATTTTCTTCATAAGGACTTGACTGTTTAAAAAAAATCTAACATTAGCGATGAGAATCTTCTTTATGCACTGTAAATTACTGTTTGATAATTTTTATACGAAATACTGAGATTATTTACCACAACCGACAACGATGATGTTTGTGATATTTCTGTTGGTGATGGATTTTTATTTAAGAATTTATAAGAATCTATTTCATGCCAAAAGATGATTTTTTCAAATAATAATGACGTTAATGGTTAGATGTGTGTTTTGGTCCACATTCATACTTTTGATCATTACTGGTCGAATATGTATGAAACGATGAGACTGTCATCTTCTGAAAATTCCTGTTTTTCATCATTGATTTGATCCAGAATAAATATTTTGTTCATCTCTATTTTCAATGCTACTACGATTAATGTGAAATTCTTTTCAACTCTAGTATTAATAAACTTTGTATATGTGTGTGCAAAGTTAGTTAGAAAAATGTTCGGTATGTCTATGAAATGTATTTTTTTTCTATACTATGGCGCTGGCGCCATTTCGAAAATTTCACAATGATGATTCTTATTATTGCCTTCGTCGTCATGCCCAAATGATAGTTTATGTGGCAGTTGGCCATCCTTTTTGTAGGATTCGATCTCGATTTACAATTTCTTTACTCAATTGATTTATAAACAGAGTCAATTATTATCATCAAAAGTTATATTGATTCAAAAAAAAAAAAATGAGAATCTGAAACCACTGAAAACAATATATATTCAAGTCTTTTTTTTATTTATTATTTCAATCAACTTTTCATATGTCTAAAATTTTCGACAGACTATTTTTGGAAAATCATGACTTTCTAGTTTTTTTTGCTTGAAGAATTTCGCGTTCGATGAAATTCGATTCGATAAATCAATACGTTAAACTTGTTTTTTTGTTCTCTTAAATATTGAATTATTATTAAATGACATACACATTGTTTCAAAAGAATCATTTTGATCGATGACATCATCATCATTGTTCAGCTTATTTTATTCGATTCTGTATATCAAAATATTATCATCAATTTTTATCTAAAACAAAAAAAAAAAACTCAGATTTTTGCTAATGAAAACATTGAAAGTTATAAGCATTCAACATTATGTATGAGTATGAACAACAGCATAAAAAAAATTATAACCTAATTATCATTAAGAAAAAAATTATTAACCATAATTTTACTAAGAGTAATACATTCACAAAATTCAAAAACAAAAACAAAAACTGTCATCAAAACGATGATGACGCCAAACCAGAAAATACATACATTCAATTTATGGAAAGGATTGCAGAAATATTTGTGAAACCATAAATAATCAGAGAAAAAATGGCAAAGCAGAGAGAATGGATCAGATCGATAAATCATTTTTTTTTCATTCGAAAATTCTGTTTTCTGGATCTTTCTTTTTTTTGAGTTCTTATTTTTCATTCTATCAATGCAGATATGTGTCTCTGTTTTTTTCTTTATATTTCCTCATATTCGAACATACAAATGACACATATTTGGACGAATGTCATAATTAAAACCTTGATGTTTAGCATGGCAAAAGTACTTGGTACACTGTATTAAAAAAAATGAATTTTTTTGTCATTTTTTTATTAAGCTTGATAAAAGATTGTTCCTCCTGGTATCGCAGGATGTGGTGTTGTTCCCATTGGAGACATTAATGGTAATTTCATTGTTGGTGATGGTTGTTGTGGTAATGGAAGAATTCCTGTAAATTTTACTTGTGGCTGCTGTGCCATAGGGTTTTGTGTTTCTCCAATTATCATTGGAACTCCTGTTCCTATTGTTCCGGTAGTAGGTTGAAATGGTGATTGAATTGTGGCTGGAGCATATGTGGTTATGGTAGGTTGCATTTGTGGTTTAAATATTTGCTGTGGTTGATGTCGTGCATGTATAGCCAGAAGCATTCGTATTAGTTCTTCTTCGGCTTTCCATCTGACCTTTTTGGGCATAGCGAAAAACCGAAAGCATAGAATCAAGCTTAGCATTACACTACACATAGTCATTCCGAGCAAAAATACTGACAGAAATTTTATGATAATTGAAAAATATCATTATTATACTTACAATATCCAGCAGTGGTTATTTCCGGCATTCTTCAAGATTTCTATTTTCAACTCAATTCAATGATTAACTACAATTTTACGTCTTTATTTGAGTTCAAGTTTTATTTAATTAAAAAATTCGATTCTAAATTAAGCGCCAATATATTGTATGTTGGAACAGTTTCTGGAACACATTCTCTATGAATGGCCACTTGTTTTGATTCTGTCAACAATGTTTTGTTTCAATATTGAGAATCTAAAATAAAAATTATTTTTTGTTATAAAATTATTCAATCCATTCTAGTCATTCAATTTTTTTTTCAAACCTTTTATTGATGGACCAGAATAAATTAAATATCATCGATCGAAAAAAGAGAATGAACCTTGGAAAACCTTTTACTTCAAACTTCACGATTATCATTGAAAGCATCATCAATGACAAATACAATAATGAATCCAAGAATCATTGAAAAATTGAATCGAATAAAATATTATTTTGCATCACGTACATCATCTTACGATGACATTTGGAACATTTGTTATCGTCTTTCGGATGAGATTCAAGAACAAGTATTGGATGTGTTCATATTGACATTGTGAGATGAATTGTGTTTATATAAGCTGTTAATAATTTGAATTTTTAATTTTTACAGTATAGATCATTGGGATAAAGAATTGGAACGTCATGTTTTACTCTGTGAACGTAGTCTTATTCTGATGGATTTTGATTTTGTACATCTTGAGATTCGGCAATTATTCATCTATGATTATTCTCGTTTCAATTCAATACGTATCGGTCCATTAATTTATCCACAAATGGCATTAAATTGGTACGTTAAAATTAAATTTGGAAGAGTATTTCTCGATAACTTTTTGTTTACAATTTGGTTCCATTATCAGCTCTAGTCATCGATCCAAATACGCCATACGATTTCAATGGGACTCTCACAAGCCGTTAAACTATCGTGACTATTGGAATCCATGGTCCAAAGAAATACCTTGGATCACATTAGCTCAACATCCATTAGTCTATTATATTGATGATTTATTGAGCGAACAATGCGTTGACAATGATGATCAAAATTGTTCTTCACTTATTGAAGATCAATATTTCACCGAAGAATATCTTCAACAAATTCGACGTCGTTTTTCCATTGAAACCTTTCACGATAAATTATTGGAAATTTTGAATTCGTTCCAAGTACAATCTACTCTTAACTATCCACAGCTATCGAGCTATCGATTGATTTTACCATCCAATCTAAATAATGATGATGAGAGTCAACAATCGATGTTGAACATGGTGCTAGAGGATGCTATCCGACGTAATGTATTGATTGAAATGTATCATCCATCTGATCAATCTCTTACTATCATACATTATGCCTGTATAATGTGTGATAATTATTTCAATATACCGGCTATGTTATTTAATCGCATCAATCTTGGCTATTATCGTCTTCGTTTATTTTGAGAAAAAAATATTTATCTTATTATGTTGAAACTACTCTATTTATTTATTTATTTAATCACTAAATATGAGTGTTGATAATGAATACTGAAAAAAAATCTTAATTCATTTTGCTAATAACATGAATAGTAATATATTTACAAAATTGGTGTCTGTCACGATAGTATTCTAATCGAGCATATCAATCTCTTTCACTATGAATGAACCTGTTGCTGGTGGATCTCTTGCCAAACGTATTAATGCTTTGATTAGACTTTTGACCAATTCACGTTGTTGTTTCATTAATCGAGCTCTCAATTCCCATGGTTTGAAATAGCCATCATTGAAATTGGGAACATTTTGACCAAGATTTCCATCCAATACACGGCCATTTGGCAATTGAACGATGTCTCCAAGTATGTCTAAGCCTCCATGTTTGGTCACTAATCGTCGTTGAGCCTCGTGCCAATATTTGCCCGGTATTTTTTTCCTGTTAATGAAATTAATTATTAAATTAGAATGCTAACAATGTTACTTGTTTGTTCTAATATGAAGGACGGGCACTTGTAAATTTCAATTGGATATGTGGGAAAATTTTGAAACCTATTCAAATTCAATCATTGGACGATCAAAGAAATCAACATTCAAAAAACAACCAAAAAAACACAAACGGAAACGTCGTTGTGCGTCTCCGACAACTCAACGGCGAAGAGAATTGGAAAATAAAATCGATAAATTGATTGATCAAGATTTAGAAGAATTTCGAAAGATACCAAAAGAACAACTACGAAAATTCATGGCTGGATTGTATCCTGATAAACTACAAGAAACACCTTATCAGGAAAGCCGATTCGAAGAAATTCAAAAGCATTATATCAATCCTGTACGAGATATGATACAATCATCATTGGAATCTGCAGGTAAATTATTCAATCAATTAAATCAAGCTCCACAGGAAAAATCTTCTGATGCAGAAGATGAGGAAAGTACCGAAGAAGAAATAGAACAGAATAGTGAAGATAATAATGAAGAGGAAGAAGAAGTGGAACAACAAGACGACGAAGACAATAAACAAAAACTAGATATTCAAGTGACAAATAATGATAAGGAAATTTTTGAAAAACAACCAGCTCAACCAAGCGTCACAATAACAAAAACACTTCATATATCTGATCGAACAATTAACAATGATCAATCGGGTAAAGTGACAGTGAATTTATCCGAAATGAATAGAATGATAGAAAGCATTGAGAAAATGTCAATGATGGTTGATATAAATCAAAAAAAGTTGGACGAATTGCCAAAAAAATTTCAAAAACAAAGTAAATAAATAAAACATCTTGATTTCGAACATTGTACTTACTTTTTATACAACACTATCGGATGATAATGATGATGTCTGACTTTTTTGTATGGAAATGGTGGTTGATAAATGTTTGAATAATGTCCAGCAATTTGTTTCAATGAATGTGGCACAGCTTGCGGTGATTCTGGATACATTTTATGATATTTAGGTTTTTTATGCGTATAATGTTTTGCTGATTCTTGTACTTCGGCTTCGGCAATTGCTGCTAATGTATTGGGAGAAGCATGTTCCTTTATTAACGGTAAATATTTGGCTGTATCGACTACAACGAATTTAGTTTTAGGTTGAGATTTTTTTGATTTACTTGGTTTAGCACATGTTAATATGCTGTGATTCATGAGGATGATGATATAAAAGCCAAAGATGAAAAACCATATTGATGGCACTTTTAATTTCTGTTGAGATCTTCGTAGAATGAACATTTCAATTGTTGAAATTTTTCAAAACAACCAACTCTATACGACGATGATGAACACAACAAAAAAATATGTTCATTGGAATCGGATCGATAAATGTTTATTTGATGATGATGACGATGATATAGTTGTAAGAAATTTTGAAACAAAACTAATTTCATATGCGGAAAACATATTTCAAATAACCAGATATATCGTATACGGATGAATGATCATTTGGTTTACCATTCGAAGCTTCTAAGAGAAATAAAGAGGAGTAGAGTGTGTGGTAACGTGATAAAAACAATTATAATCAGGATAATGGTAAGTAAACATTTTTTTTCCATTCAACCAATTTGAGAGTTTTCAAGTGAAAAGGAAAACATCGAAACTATGGACCAAATTAAAGAGAAAAAAATTGAAAAACATTCTGATATGATCTGAATGTGCGAGAGTGGTATTTTATCGAATATAGCTCATATGAAAGTGTGTGTGTGTTTCAACTTAAATCTTATTCGGGGTTCGACAATCATCTATCAATTTGGATTTAGTAATTTATAACCGACTTTTTCAGCATTTTAAATGATTATATATAAATAGTACATGTCAAGATGTATGTGTCAATCCACTTGTTGATTTCTCTCCAAATATTGATCACATTATTATTCAGGAGAAAAAAAAATTCATTAGCCAATGCTTAAATGGCTGCCGTTTTGAAATAGCGCGGCAACCCTTCGCTTTACTTCCGTTATCTCACTAAATTATTCATCATGATTATGACGGAAAAGTTTTCATGATTAGTCTGACGGTTTTTACTTTTTCTTTTTTTCAGATAGAAAATTATCTTTGAGTTGTGACGACAATCTATTTTTGATAATTTTTTTTTTTTTTTGAAATCGAAAGTAAGCAGCTTTATCACTGTTTATATCCCAAGTCTAGGTTATATTAGGAAATTTTTTTTTTTGGGAAAACTTACTGCTGAATTTAGAAATGATATATTGATGACTGATTTTGACTACTTTTATTTTTACCAAGAAAAAAATATTCATCAATCTTAAAGGAAAAAACATTAATTTTGGAACAATATATGAATGGATAAATAAATATGTTTGGGCATAGATTTAAGCCATTTATTTCGAAAAATTTTCTGATTGATAATTGTTAAAAAATTTGAAAAGGCATTTTTTGAATTTTTTTTTTATTGTAAAATTTAAAATATCATTCGATCGGGTGACAGAGAGAGAGAGACATACATTATTTGATATAATGGAATAAATTCAGATGATGGACTTAATTCCAATTTCACTATCATCTGAATCGTCTCCAATAAGAATTGACGCATTATTTGGTTTAGACTTTTCGTCTAAGATGCTTAAATTGTTTATCTTTTTCCTTATCGAATTTGCTATTAGCAATTATTATTAGATTGAATTGTTTTGGTAGCAATCGGTTAACATATCTCTTTCACAATACAACTTTGATATATTTTATTAATCATTGATGTAAAACTTTCTCTTCAAGTCTTCAGACAAGTAGATAGGCAGATTGTATGATGATGTTATCGTAAATGTTGTTGAGTATTGATCATTCATAATTTCATTATTATTCAACATCATCATAGTGATTGTCTTTCAAGTGTTTCCGTAAATTTCTTTCATATTAATAAATTCTACCACATTTATCAATTGGGCAATAATATTGTTTTTTTTATGTTTGCATTTGAAATGCTCTACACATGTATCTCTCCGTTGGAATTCTTTTCCACAGCCAACACTTGGGCATACATGTGTTCCTTTCTCTTTATTCCATCCGAATAAATTTCATTGGTTGGTATTTTGAGCGAATTGATTAGTTTTTAAAATTCTGTAACATCAACGGTTCTCAGAAAATCAATTTTATTCAATTTGTTGTTGATGATGATGATCGATATCATCGATATCAATCAATATATGATGTTGTTGTTGTTGATGATGATCATTTCGATCATCACGATATCGTCCATTGTTTTCCATTTTAATTTTAATCTTTTTTTCATTTTCATTGGATTGGAACATCATTGAAAATTGAAAAAAATTGGAATCGGATTTTATATCATCACATTGGAATCATTGGAAGAATATTGGAATTGAAATATTATATATATTGAAAAAATTGATTGATTGATTAATTGATTAATTTCAGCTACTATCAGGTTTTATGTAATAACTTATAACTTACCAATTTTTAAAATTAAATTAAAAAAATTTAAATGTTTTTTAATTTTAAATTTGAAAGGATTTAAAAAAACGATGATGATGAAGCAATGAGATGATGATGATGATGATGAATGAATGATAGAATGAAATGAAAAATGAAATGCTATGGAATGATAATAGTTCGAAATTCAAATTCGGAATCAAAATCATAAAAAATGATTTCATCATCAAATACTCACTCAAACAGGCACACAAAATGAAAATCACGTGTGTCACTATTTATATTCGAAAAATTCGAATTCGAACTCTTTCTATGTTCTATTGAATGATTGCACCATCTATCGGATGCAAAAGCTGCAGCAACGTGTGCTGAGCTAGAACAATGAAAAAAAGATTTGTCAAAGCTACATACCACAGAATGCGTTTCTTTAGAAGAGACTTCTACTTCTAAGCTTAACGAACTGTTCAGCGGCATTCAAAAGTTTTTCCGCATGCTCAGACACACACACACAACACACTGAGTAGCTCATACTAAATAGTTATGTTTGTACTGAAAATAAGCAGGAATGGCCGGCTCAGCTTCCCCGCATCAAATGCCAAGTTAATACCCAGTGCAAGTACACAGTGCAAGCACTTGGCGAGTGTAAAAAATTGCAGTTACACACAAACAAGCGACATAGACTAGTAGAGACTAGTAGAGATAGAGAAGATAGATAGATTATTATATTATTTTTAATGATGATAATGAACATTATTTGCATCATCAATGTTTACATTTTTTCAGAAAGTTAGAAAAAAAAATTTAAAAAATATATCAAAATTCTAAACTAATGTGTACATAATAATAATTCCTGAAAGAATGATAAAATTCTATGGATATCGATTGTAGACAATCGATATTATCAAATTTTTCGATAGACAGATTCATGAATTCACGAGTCGTTTGTTAAACTATTCCATTCGTAAATAGTTATATATAGTTGTTGAATTGAATTTAGTAAATCACATTTTTATTATTCAGAAAAATTCAACATTCCTATATTCATTGCAGATAATGAGTGTTACAGTTTTCGATTGAGAATATATATATTCAAAGCAGCTGAACCTCATTTTAATAATTAATATTGAAATATATAATTCTAGTGAGTATTATATGATTCGTAAATTTGATTTTTTTATAACATTCTTTGAAGACTCATGGACCATCCATCATCATCATCATCATCATCTTGGTTTGTGAATCGTGTAGGTAACGGAGGGAATGAAGCTAACGTTATGGATGTTGGCACATTTTTTTCGTTAACAAATTCATCATTGATTCAACAAAACAATGATAATAACGGATCAGATCAACAACATAACTTAAATCCACAAAATCAGACAACGACAATCAGTTCTGTTGCGTTCATTGAACATCTTCAACAATCCTTACAACAGGAACAGGCTCGACGAATAGAAGTGGAAAAAGAATTGACTTCTTTGAAACAAAAATATACCGAATTGCAACTACAAATTTCCGAAGCAAAAACCTTACAGGGGAATAGCTTATCAATGCAACATAATCATCTTGAATCGATCAAAAAACGATTAATCAATACGTTAAATATGACCATCGACAACAGCAATCAAAGTTGTAAACTTACAACCGATCAGTCACAGTTGAAACGTCAAATCGAATATATACATGAATGTGATGAATGTCAATTCAAAACTAAATCAAATGTTTCGCTTATATTGCATAAAATGAACCATCAAATTACTGATCAGCATTATATGTTATCTACGGCATTTTTTACGACAAGAAATTCTAATTCAAAATCTATTTACAAATGTTCGGCCTGTGATACCGACACATTGACCCGTCATCAAGTATATCGTCATATCTAGTAAGTTAACCCTATTTCGAGAATTTCAAATAATATTTATCGATAATTAAACAATATATATAGTGATTTACATACTACGGAAAAACCATTGAGCTGTCCATATTGTGAGTTTAGTTTCACACATAAAGACTACCTCGAGCAACATATTCCGGCAAAACATGAAAAAACATTCATGTCTTTATCATCGTCATCATCAAAATCAGCTCAAATCAATCATCATAGTGATGGTCTCACTCATACCAATTCAAATTCACATTTAAGCAGTAATAATAATAGCCAACCACTGACAACAACAATCGCCAAAGTGGATTCTTCATTATCATCGCCGTTATCTGAAATGCGTATGGTTTTATTTATTAAAACGTTTACATTGAATTATTCAATTGAAATAATTTTCTTTTTTAATTCAAGAATCATCAAATCGAAGCAGAAATAGACGTCAACAAACAACGTCGGCAAAAAATATTCCGCAAATCGATTTAAAATGTACATTTCCTGATTGTAATTTCGTAACAATATTCCACGATAAATTGGATTTTCATATGAAAGCACATCTAATGACAAAGGTAATTATATACATTCTCTCACACATTTGATTAATTCTGTTTTTTTAGTATAAATGCCCATATTGTCCATACGTGTCAAATACGATCATTGATATTAAACGGCACATTCAAAAGAGCAAAAAACACGAAGGAATGAAAATGTATTCATGTCAAAAATGTTCATTTGCTGCTGATTGTGATCGACAATTCAAGGAGCACTTGCGTGCTTATCATTTTGGCTATGAATCAAATGACGATGTCATAGATTATTTTATCGAAGAAATGTTCTCGAACAAGAACAAACAACGTGCCAGTAATGATGATCGCGAAAGTATCAACAACAGAACGACCAACAGTAATGATACAGCTGAAACGGTAATCATCAATTCGATAACTATGGGCACTAACAACAATAACGTTGGCCAACAACCATCGAATGATGCATCATTAAATCCTCCACCTGCCAAAAAATTAGCCGGAATAAACGATCATCAAAGTCTTGTAACTGCCAACAACAACATTACGAATCAAAATCAGCCACAATCTCTGAACATTCAAATTGCAAGGGATGATAGAGATGTTGGACAAAATAGTCAAACCTTTTACAATTTGGAATTGACAACCGCTGCAGCCGCCGTCTCTTCTTCAAATGTACCATTATTGTTTACGTCTAGTAGTGGTGATACTGGTGGTAATCAACGATTATCAAACACAATTAAATCAATACCATTGTCTGCTGTGACGATCGTACCGCAACAACATGGTCATGAACAACATCAACATCACCAACTTCATGGCCAACAAACACAGACGGCAACCATTTTGTCCGTTCCTTCAGATGCTAATTTGAATCACTTATTAAATCACCATGCAACATTGATCAGTGTTGAAGAACCACCAGCATCAAATAATAATCGTGACCACCATCAACAATCAACGAATTCTTCGCAACAAAATGGAGGACAAGATTCTAGTTTAACGACATCTATTCAGCAGCAACAACAAATACCAGTAACGATAACCCAATATCTTAGTTATGCAAACTATTAATTTCTCAAAAAGAATTTTCTTTTTATGTTTAATGACATTTTGTTTATATATTATTATATATATTATTTTCATTACTTTTACTGATATATTTGATCACAATCTAATTCTGCATGGTCATATTGATTATGATGAATTTGTTCTTTTGATTTCTTTTTAGCTGAATGATCCAATATTGTTGCTCCGCTAATGCTTAGTGATGATTTCAAACGGCTTACATTCTGATCCAATAAACGTTCTAAGCGTAAATCAATTAATTGTTGTTCAATACGATGTGCTTGTAATTTTGATTCACAATCACGACAGTTATTAGATATTTGCAATCGATTTTCATTTTTCTGCACAACATTGTCTGCTGTATCGAAACAATAGCCATCGATTTCATTCAATTCCAATGATTTCATCGATGAAAAGGACGAGGAAGATGAAGTGGCTGTAGCCATTGATGAACTAGCTGAGGATGATTTTTTCATTCGTTGACTAATTCTTTTTATTTTATCCATCAACGTGATATCTTGATTTAAATCCGTTGTCGGTGTCGTTCGGTCAATAATAGCAATTTCATTGACAATTGATGACATTTGATCACGATCTATTGGATGAATGACGATCTGTCGGCTAGAATCATCTTCAATTGAAACTATTGCATTTTCAGTTTCAGAACTAATTTCGATTCGTTCGAGATCATCGCCAATTACTTGAAGGGAGGATTCTTTAGATGGTCGGAAATGTTGGTCAATTCGTTTTATTTGTTTGTCATCCAGATCGTCGATGCTCTTGATCTCTGGACGTAATAGTTTTTTTGCTCTAATCAGTTTTTCGGTCTTTTTGGATTTTTCTAGATCGTCTTTTACGAACATGGTGGTTCGGTTATCTGGTTTTATTATTTTCTTTTTACGTGAAGAATGTTCTCGTTGCACTTGAATTTGGCTAAATCGAACAGACCGATTGGATTGTGCTTGTGAATCGTCATCTACAGTCTGTATGGATTGATCTTTAGTTTCGATTTTTGGAGTTTGTTTATTTTTTGTAGCAATCAATTTACGTTCCATTTTGGCCATTAGTGATTGGAGTTTTGACAATTGTTCGTTAAGTTGAGTTACCTGTTGATCACGTTCATTGAGACGTTCACGTGCAGATTGACGTTCCTGTGATAAACGTTTTTCAATGTTCCATTTTTCCAATTCTATCCGTCGTACCTCGGCATTAAGTTCGGCAACTTTCGATCGAAGATCAGCACTTTCTTGAAAGATAGAGTTTTCAACTTTTTTCTTTAAAGCTGTTGCAGTTTGAATTGACTGTTGATTTCTCCTGATCATATCGTTCAATTTGGTCGTCAATGTTTGAATCTTTTCTTCTTTAGATCGTGATTCAGATTCTAAGGATTGAATTTTAGCTTTGCTGAATTCTAACTGTCTTGTGGTATGGTTTAGATTTGATTCTAGTTCAATTATCAGATTTGATTTTGCTTGAAGCTCGATTTCCAATTGTTTGATGCGTTCCCGTGATTTCGTTCGAACACTTTGGAAAAATGCATTATTTTTTACAATTTACAATATTGATAACTATTTTAAATAAACTTACGATTCTAGCTGATGTAAAGTTGACCGTAATAGCTCCATCAATTGATCATTCTCTTGAACTTTTGGCTTGACGAATAAATCTTCATAGATTTTTTCCATTTCCAAAATGTTAATTTGTTCATCTTCAACGTTCGACTGGACAAATTTTCGTCCATCCTTTTGATTGAATAAACTTTGTCGATTCGGTTCTATTATGCTCATTGAATTAGTTTGCTGACGAGATTTGTCTGCAGCACCATATGTCTGTCGCATTTGTTCTAGCATCGAACGATATTCATCCAATGCTTCATCTTTTTGTTTAAGACAATTTCGCAAACATTCTATTATAGTTTCAAGAATCGCTTTGTTCTGTTTCGTTTGACTCGATTCGATTGATTGGCTTGCTGGTGGCTGTTGTTGAGGTTGAAATTGTGCTATTTTTGCGACCATTTCTTCTTCGTCTTTGCTGTTGGGTTTGATTACTATTAATGAGGTCTGTTTCTGATTTTTTTCCATTTGAATCGTTTGCAATGAGTTAGTCATTTTCATCATTTTGTCTCGCAAATCTCGAATTTCTTCATTTCGGGCATCAACATCCAACTTGTATTCTTTTTTCACCAACTAACATAAAAAATGGATCGAAAAAATAAAATAATGATCAAATTGATGATGGTGCTTACCGTTAGATTCTGACGTAAAGATTCTATTGTTTCAAAGTATTTGGTTTCCTGGTGTTGAAATTGTTGACGCTCTTGTTCGATTAGCCGGCGAACAGAATTCAACATGGTCAAATGTTTTTGACATTGTTCACATTGAACTGGTTCTGGTACGGTTTGTTTCCATTCGGTTGTTTGTACAGATTGAGATTGAAAATTAGGTGAAACAGTTTGCACTTGAACATCGGCCATCAATACATATTGATCGTCCTCGTCGCTAATATTCAAAGTAACTTTTTCGGACAACTGATTTTCGTAAGGCTTAGAAATTTCAGTTTCGAGTGTTTTTTCATCAACTTTTTCAACTATAAATGTTTGTGTAGATCTATTTTCGATTTGAACTTTTGGAATTTTTACTTGTTCGGATTCTATTGGAAAAATTGGGTCTAATCCAACACTACAAGTTTCAATGGATTCTGATGATATCATAGTGCCTATAGAAATCATTTTCGGAATTTTTTCCGTATCGGCTGAGGTTTTTACTTCACATTCTTTCGCGTTTTGTCTTCTTTGTATTCTCGATCGCGGTCTGGAAGTCGATCCTTCGGTCGATTTAGAATCTACAATTTTGTCCACTAATTCGTCTTCATCCTTTGAGTGCGAAAGCATGTCATCATCAAAATCCTCATTGTCATCATTAACATCATTTATGTCTTGGCAATTGGAATTCGACATCGAATTGGTCTCGTTTATAGTTGAATCCCGTTCACCACTGTTCATTGTCCAATTATTCAATATATCAGTTGTGTATTCGTCTATAACTGAAAGAAAATCTGCTCTCAAGTTTTTCAGTTCAATTCGAAGTTGTTCATTTTGTCCTCGGACGTGATCCAATTCAGATTTAAGTAGAATCATTTGTGTAATATCCCCACCACTTTGATTTCCATTCAATCCAGAATAAATTGATCGATTTTCAAGCATACGGCAAACTCTTTCTAAACTTGGACATTCCAGTACCAGATCAGTTGTGACATCTGTCTGACGTAGGCCATCAAGAATTTCCTTCATACCCATTTGAAGTTCCAAGTTTTCATTATGAATAGATTCCATGTGTGTTTGAACGGCTTCAAGATGTCGTTGCAGAACATCGCGTTCAACAGTAACGGCTATCAATTGATCACAGAGTTCCATTTCTTGTTGCATTGATGTTCCACTCAAATCATCAGATCCGATAGGACTTTCAGGAATTAAATTATGTTTATTGAGCTGATTAATAAGGAATTCTATACGATTTTCGCGTGATCGCAACATTCGAGTAAGAACAGCATTTTCTTCAAACAACTTTCTTATCCGTTCATCTCCACCTATCAACATTGACATTCGTTTACGCTGACGTATTAAAGCTTCGTCTTTATTACGGGCTTCATGTTCAAGTCCATCGATTCTCGTTTCAAGAGATTCGATTTGTTTTTTCATATTTCGTACCTTTCGATTTTGTTTACGTAGTTTGATTGGATCAGCTATTTCGTTTTGGTTACATTGTTCTTCCTCTTCTTCAAATTTTTGTCGTATACCTTCAGTTAGAATGCTAAGCTCTTCTTCAAGGCGTTCAATTTGATCTCTACGTTCTTCCAACTGTTCTGCATTTGAATGTCTGGGTAACATTTTGATCATTTCACGAAGTTCATATATTTCGGAATCTTTGACTTTGATCAATGATTTTAGCTTGTCTAATTCTTTTGTCATTTGTTGATAGAATGAAATATCCACATCTGATGAATGTGCCTGATCATCAGTCGAATTCTTCTGGTTTTGATTAAGTACTTTACGAAGGCGATCAAGTTCTTGATCGCGTCGTTGCCGATCTGATAATAAACTTTCATTGAGCTTTTCTAATTCATGGATTTGTTGTTCGAGCATTTGTCGTCTAGCCGTCAATAATTGACACTCATTATCCGATTTGGCCAAATCAACACGAAGTTTGGCCACTTGTTCAGCTAGATCAAGATTGATACGGTCCGAATCGTATAATTTATCCAACAGTTGTTCGATCTGTTCATTTTTTTCTCTTAATCGAAGTTTCATTTCATCAGTTGAAAATCGTGAATCAGACAAGTGATCACTATTTATAGTAGAGTCGGAGCTATGCGAACTAGATGTCCTAAGTTGCTTTAATTCTTTATCTTTTTGTTCAAGCTCATTGATTAGTTCTTGCCGTTGTTCGATAGCTTTTTGTAGCTGCTGTTCTTGATCATCATATTGTTCCTGTAATCGTTTTAGTTCAGCATCAGGTTTGCTATTTCGTTGTGCATCCAATTCATTTTCAATATCTCCATATTTTTGCTCAATGCTTTGTAATTCTTCCAAGAGAACATCCGTTTGAATATGCTTAACGTTTAACAAGGACCTTGTGAATTTAAACAATTGTATGAGATTGTTCTTATCCAAATCTTGTTCAACATTATCGATTGGATACTATAGCAATACTTTATTATAATAAATTTGGGAAAAAATCTTGGCTTCTAGAACTTACCTTGAACAATTTTCTGCACCAAGAATCGGTCTCTTCTTCACTTAACGATTGAATATCGATTGCCGATATTCTCGATATATCAAACATGGTGATGGTTGAAATCTCTCTCTGTGTGTGTTTAGGTGTGCGTTCAATGACTAAGAACCACGAAGAACTTTGTATTTGTTATGATTGACCGATTGAAAAAAATCCGGTTACCATGGAAACCTTTTTAACATTACATAACTTTTCATGCATTTAGAGTTTAAATTTTAAAAGATATTTTCGCAAATCAAAGATAAAATGAAATTTTTTTTTTAAACAGATAAATCCATTAATATTTTGCAATATACACAATTAGACTTGTGACATTTTTTTTAATGACAAATAATAATTTTCATATTTTTTAAAACATTTAGCAACAAATAAAAGGTGAAAGAAAGAAAAAAAAATATAGGAGAGGTAGGAGGTATAAACAGTTTGACTTTTAACATAATTATTATGATCATTTACTGTGTGAAAACTACGATTTGATCGTAACAAAAATCAATCTGGTTGATAGATGTGCATTTTGGGTAGAAAATCGATGATCAAAATGTATTCCATAAATGAATGATTTGTATGTGATGGTTGTTTCGATAGCCGCCAATTTAATCCTAATTTGTTGTACAAACGAGAATTTTCCATGGCCAAAAGCTAGAAAATTGATAAATGTTATAAAGAATGAATGAATGAATAAATATTGATATTGTACTAACCTTTTCCAATGAATTTTTCGTTCGTCGTGATAAGGCAAATCCGGGCCATAATAATGAACATCCCAATGAAAAACAGCAACAAAGACATCCAAGTAACAAGAATTTAATGTTGGTGGAATGTTGCTGTTGTAACAAATGATTGATACGGCCAATAGTGTATTCAAATTCTTCCTTAGAAACACGACCCAACAATGCCGATGGAAATGATGATTGATAGCAATTCGAGAGGCCAAACAATGTAATGTTACCATTTCCACGAATCTGTATAGGATCTTCAAATGGCATTTCCATATTTAATTCATTCGGTGGTAACAATGACAATAGGTAATCAATATTCTGATTTGATGATAATGATTGTTGAGACTGTCGCCTGGAACCACTGGTGGTAATGAGCGATGTAATGCCACCAGCATCACCACTTGTAACAGGGTTCAATCGACGAATATTATCACGAACACCAGCATCATCGTCATCTGTATCGTCCGTATCACTGCTGTTCATTTGATGTTTATGTTGATGTCGATAACTACTACCATGTCTTTTGTTAATTTTATCAATGCCATCATCATCGTCGTCGTCGTCCAAATTGATTCGTTCAATTTCAAGAATATTGTTTGGTTGTTGGCCATTCGATATTGTTCGGATCATTTGTTGCTGATGACAAGGATAATGTGGTTGTTGTAGTTGTTGAGCATGATTATCACTGTTACAAACGACCACTGAGTCAACTTGTTGGCTATCAATATTATTATCTTTATGGTTGTCAAGGCAAATTGAGACAATTTTTGACAGAGATGTTGAATGAGATTTTAATGGTGTTGATGACAAAGATATGGCCACCATAGCATTCACAGGAGCAGCATTAGGTGATGATGATGATGATGATGATATGTCCACAATATGATGATCAATACGACTAGTGGAAGGTTGTTGATGATTGATTAAAAAATGATTTTCACTAACATGAATATCTAATGCTTTTTCTTTTTCCAACATTGATGATGACAATCTCGTTGTCCTTAATTCGGATTTTGATTTCCATTCATTGTTTTCATTTTCATTATTATTAACTTCTTCTTTTTGTTGAGTGTTTGTCCGACAATCTGTTGATGTTTGTTCAAAATTAATTCTATCCATTGTTTCAGTCGATTTGGTAAAAGATTTTGTTGAATTATCAATGATTTTTCCTTCTTTAAAATCGGCCATCTGCTGGTATTTTCAAACAATAGGTTAATAAAACGTAATACATTCGCAACTCAATCCTGATAATTGTAAATATTTTGAAAACAATTTGTATACAATTATTATAATCAGAGTTGTTTTGGTTGTTGTTTTTAAAGAAAGTATTGAACAAAAACAAATTCCGAATTGGTAAACAAAATTCAATTCATTGCATGTGAAGAGTGAATAATAATGTTCAAATATTTGTGGTGATAAACTCTTTATTTAGCAGCTATCATCCTGATAGTTTATATCATCATCATCATCATCATAATTTCAAGTGTTCATACGGATCACAGAGATGTAGTACCGTTTTGTTGTTGTTGTCGTCGTCGTCTTCGTCGTTTTTGTACAATGATATAGATATTTTTACAACTCTTTAAGACACACGCACCAACGACAAAAACGAACGGATATTATTAAACTACTGAAATGATATACATAATTGAATGATTGCTTTATTATTTTTGTTGTTTAGCTGTTGCAGATATTTTTTTTCACATAAATACAAGGAAATGGGTTTACTTTTTCAATGATTCGATTTGATGATGATAATTAGGATGGTGAGAGAGAGAGAAAAAAAAACATTCAGATTCTCTTTGGTTGATCATCAAACGTCTTAAAAATGACAAATTTTTTTTTTATTGTTTTTGTCACTCATTCGAAATCTAATGCCTTGTAATAAATAATATTATATCATCAACTCTTTTACCACTCTAATGAATACGATTTGAAAGAAATACTATAGTAATAATTATTTTATATCGTCATCATCTGGTTTTCATGTTGGATCATTCAGAGAAGAAATCAAAGTTGTTGTCGTTGTTGTTGATGATTTTGATATCATTTAACATCGTCGTTTATTTTCATCGTTTGGTTGAGAAAGAAAATCTTGTCGATTTGTGGTTATTATGATTAGGCAATGTTTTTGTAAATAAAAAACATTATCTTGTCTTTTGTTGGATTTTTTATTTTAATAAGAGATATAAAGAAAGAAAGAAACAACAAGACACAAAAACAGAGTCTGTTCGCATATGGTGAGCTCACTGTATTTATTATATTATTATTCATCATACAAAAATACAGCTGTGTGGTGCCAGTATACTGCAAAATCCAATCTACTCAATATCATTTGAATGAATGAGAAATAATTTCATGTATTTCATGTACACAACCACATCAATGAAATTCAAACAAAACAATTCGATAAACGCAGCTGTGTGTGTGTGTGCTCATAAGATCTGAAATGTCAGGATTTTGTATACACATTCATAAATGCATGCTGTGGATGGAATGATATACGAGCCACTACCACAAAAATTTTTCCTTACCTGACCTGAACGGACAAAATTATTCCCCATCATTATCATCATCATCATCATCATCATTATCATCATCAACAACCACATAAGCCAGGCATAATCTGAATTAACTCTTCAAAATATGTATGATAATCTTTTTTAAAATATTATAAAAGATTTTAATTTTTTTTTTTCATTTTTTATCGATGATGGTGATGGCTTAGTATTCTTCAGTTTAATCTTGCGGATTATCTCCTGAATGTTTTGAACACATTCAAACATTGATGATATCATTTCGATTCGTTGTTCATCTTTATTCATTTCATTATCACCATTTTCTAAATGAACTACTTGTTCTTGTAATAGCCGTAGATAAAAGTCTAATTTAGGCTTGATTTTTTCATCCAAACAACCTTCTTGTAATGTTCTTGTGGATAACTGTGTTCCAGTATTGGATAATTTTTGAATTGTTCGTCGTAATGTTTTTATAGATGAAGGATCATTTTTAAATGATTCAAGTGCTTCACGCACAGCCGATAACCTAGATTCGAATGTATTCTTCAATGACCTTGAAGATTTTGATTTCTGTCGACTTGGTGATAAATCAGTTGAGGATTTTCCCTTTTGATTTTCATTGTATTTTTCTAATGGTGATTGATTCAGTTTACTACTACCCTTTTTTCCGGTAGGCACATTTTTTGCCACACGTTTCAATAGATCTGAATCAATTGGATAAAATGATGAAGATTTACTTGCCAATGATCGTGATTGTAGCATTGAATCGGCCAATTTTGATCTTGTCATTTTTACCATTGATTCACGTGAACGATGTCGCCTCCGTCTTCGGGTAGATATCTTGCTACGTTTTCTCAAATTCGATTTCGATGAAGACAACTTTTCCTTGGATCGTGATTTTTTTTCACCATTTTCATTGCTTAGTTTTTTTTCATCATCAGATTTTGAAGACTTACTCAACGAAGATAATGGCGGCGAAAAAGATTCAGTTTTTTTAAATGTTAACGATTCATTTTGTTGGCCATCATCTTCGAATCGAATCAACAATTTCTTTGAAGGCGATAAAATACTGGACTCCTCTATTTGTTTCATCAAAGATTTGGATTTTAAACGTTCTGGTGACATATGTTGTTTGAGAATTATATCTTCTTTTGCTTGTTTTCCATATGATAACAAATCCATATCTGTTTTTCGGTTCAATTTTGGTGACCCATCAGAATCTTTGATAGGAATTCGTTTTAATTTTAATGATTGCTTACTACTTTTACGTTTACGTTTTTTCTTCATGCTTTCTATACTTGAACTTATCTTTTGGGGTGGATCTTTTGATTGTAGTTGAAAATCTTCAGAAATTTGTGGCGATAAAATTGATTTTTCTTTCAATTCAATAAGATCATCAGACTTCTTTTTCATCTCAACGTGGCTTTTGAGATTATCCAATGATTTTATTTCTGAGATTTTGGATTTTTGTTGATGGATTAAATCCAACAATTCTGAAAGTGAATCGTTCCGTCTTTTAATAATCTTTTCTTTTTTTGGTGGATTTTCAAGTTCTGTTATTTTTGTAGACTCAACTCGACTAGAAGATAAAGATGGTGACAATATTCTTGAGAAAGGCTTTTGAGTTTTTTGGAATTGTTCCAGAACTTGTTCATTTTCGGCAGTAAATTTCATTTTACAATCATCTCCAGGTAAAATGACAATATCTTTATCATCACATATGAATACGATGAGTGTTCCAGAAGTAATCTCAATGATAATGTCGGATTCCAATGGATCTTCGATGGCACAAACATTAGGTTCTGGATACATATGAGTCATGAATAAATGACCTTTGAGTTCCAGGCTACCGGGGGCTTGAAACGAAAAACCGGCAAACATTTCACCATAAACATAAATTTCAGGATTATTCGGTCCATCTGGCGTGATAAGTAAATTATACAGCCGTGATCGTGCAGATGCATGTTCTATAACGTATAAGTAATCAGCTTTGAGTGCAGGATTTGATGATCGATATGGAAGCCATGTAAGTTGTCCATTACTTCGGCGAAGAATATACTGATTTATTTCAGAATATTCTCTATCAAATTTACCGGTAAAAATTCCCATTGGTCTCACAAATGTAGCACCCATCATGTAGTATAAAATAAATTCCGAACGATCTTCAACCGATTCGGATGATGAATTTATTTCGCGGTAAAATTCTTGTATCGAATGATTTTTTTGCATCCTTGGGGCATGTAATGAAATTGGTGAAGGTATCGTTTTGATTGATTTAAATTCTTCAATTTTTGTATCCATATTGTTGTCGATTTTAAATATTTCTTTAGGAGTTTTCATTCCTAAGACTTTCAACTCAAACAAGAAAATAATAAAACACCATTCGACTTTTATAAGAGGAAATCACGTTCGAAACCACTTGTTGCGCCATTTCAATTGTTTGTACGTGTAAAGTTAATCAATGAGTAACAATTTGAGAATTTTCACACACGTGGATCCATAATTCACGATGGATACGTCATGTTTCAAGATTTTGGAACTATATAGTGGTATAGGTGGATTTCATTTTGCCATTAAAGGTTTTTGAAGATAAAAATTTTTTTTTCATAATTTCACGAATCTTTTTCTTTCATCAATCAGACCTTTTTGAAGCCGAAAAATGCATCAGCTATCAAGTAACAGCCATTGATATCAATACTTCAGCAAATCAAGTTTATCGATTAAATCACAAAGCCACAAAAAATTGTAAACTCTTGGAACGTAATATTGAATCGCTCACCAGCGATGATTTTGATCAAATGAATCTTGATCTATTGACAATGAGTCCACCCTGTCAACCATTTTCGAGGTTAGGCAATCAATTGGATCTTCAGGATTCTCGTAGTTCTTCATTTAAACACCTTATGCAACTGTTTCCAAGGTATATATTAATGTAAATTTTTATTACAAAAAATTGTAACTGTTCTTTAATAATCTTCAAGTATGCGAAGTAAGCCTCGATTTTTAATGTTGGAAAATGTGAAAGGTTTCGAAACTTCAAATGCTCACCAATTGCTTATTTCTACTTTACGAGATTGTAAATATCATATCCGAGAATTTCTCCTTTCACCTGATCAATTTGGTGTACCAAATTCTCGTCTTAGATATTACTTGTTGGCCAAACAAGAGCCCGAAAAATTTCTAGATGAAGAAAATAACGAAATTTCAACTCAGATTCCTTTGTTGCAAGAAAATAATTCCATTTTCTATGATCTAAATGTTGAATATAAGGATAAAATTCAGCTGAAAGAATCCTTGCTCGAACATTATCTGGAAGATGATGAAAATTTCAATGTTCAAAAATTCCAATTAACTGATGAACAGCTTCTACGTTATCATATGATAATCGATCTTGTCGATATCAAAAACCATATGAGCAGAACAAACTGTTTCACAAAATCTTATGGACATCGTCTTGAAGGTTGTGGATCCATATTAAAAACTTCTACAAAATTTTCGATTGATGAAATTTATTCTGATATACAAAAAACTTCCGATTCAGCTACTATTCTTGAATTATTACGTAAATTGAAACTAAGGCTTTTCACTCCAAAAGAAATCGCAAATCTTATGTGTTTTCCTGAATGTTTAGGTATAGAAAAAAAAATTCTTCCAAAAATCTTTTAATTTATCTTATTTTTATCTAGAATTTCCTGAAGATTTCAATACTAAACAACGTTATCGTTTGCTTGGCAATTCTGTCAATGTATTCATTTGTAATTATTTGTTAAAAATCTTACTTGGCTCACTCGCAACAATGAAACGCAAAATTGAATAAATAGAAAATTTTTTGCTTCATTTTTTCTGCATGTAATTCGAAATGAATTTTTCTTTGCAAACCAATGTAAATGATAGTGGTGGATGGACATCACATTCGGAACTAACATCACTAAACAAATTTGATAATTCCAGACGTATAAAATGTAAGTTTCTCTCATAGCTTTCATTGCAAATCAATTTATGATTGATTATTTTCAGTCGAACTGATTTTATTGTTTGTATTGACCATTTTCGCATGTTTCCTATTATTCGTTTTTTGGTTAAAGGATTCGAATTTTCGTGATCTGAAAGGAAAAAAACCAAACAAAAACGAGGATCTTTTTATGACTGGTAAACAAATGGTGAAATTATCATCCATACTCGATGATCATTTTATATCATCAGTTGGTCGTTTACTTCCCAAACAAAATTTGAAACATCCTCATGCCGTCGTAGTTGATGATGATCATTCTGTTTCTAAAATAAAGTTATGTGATGAACAATGCAAAAAATTGACAATTTCATCACAGCAACTTGCATTAAAATCAACAATGAAAAATTTTCGTAATATCGAAGATTTTACTACTTCAGAACTGGAAAATAGTTAATTGAAATAAAAGTGAATAAATTCTTTTTTTAATTTTTAATTTCAAAAATTATGATATACGGATTTTGGTTTCTTTATTTGTAAATGTTGTTTTTCGTCTTCATCGTCATATTCGATACTCGATTTTTGATTATCACTGGCTACTGTTAATTGATCGATTGGTGTGGCAGGTGTTGGGTGTGGTACAACTCGACGTGGTGGCCGATTTGGTTTTCGTCGCATGGCTGTAGAAGCAACATCACCAATAAAGCTTTGAACATATTTACTTAATTTAGGTTTTTTGATTTGTATGACAGGTCTTTTTTTATTATCCATCATCAATTCCATTTTAGCTTCATTCATTTGTTTCCGTATCCATCGATCTATATCTGGATTTTTTATTGGTTTTTTTCGCTTGTGGCCACTATATTTAGCTTCAGCATCATTTTCTTTTAATGACGCTTGTTGCTGTTGTTGTTGTTGTTGTTGTTGTAATCGTTTTAACTCATATCTGTATTGATATTCAATTAATGCCTGTTGATAGGCTCGACGTCGAAAGAAATCATAGATCTGTTCAAATGTCTCAAGTATAAGCGCACGATTATCCGGATTTTCATCATTACTTTCCGCTTTCAATAGGCAATAAGCTACACATATGGCTAGAATTATGAACATACCTATCGTTCCGATCAATAGAATAACTACATGAATTAAATTAATTATGTAAAATGATTTCTAACCAAAAGAACAATAATCATACTCACCATAGACTGTATAGCTATAGCCATTCGATCTAGATATCCAAGACAATGTTTTTGGACGAATACTACTTAAAGTAGTATTATCATTCTGGATCGTTTTCGTCACTTCGAGGAACATATTTTTCGGAATAAATGTGGAAAAAAACAATTTATTTTATTTTTAAACATTTTAATTTGAATTTAAAAGAATAATTTCATTAAAAGTTTTCAATTTATGGCATCAATTGTTCTGGCAATGTGAGTGGCGGTGGTGGTGGTGGTGGATTCTGATTGATCATCTGTAATTGTTCTTTCTGCATTTGATAGTAAATATCTAACCATGTTCGTATCAATTGTGAATATGGTCGACGAGTTTTTCTCGCATAATACAAAGCCAAATAAAGCAATGGTATGATGAACATGGAAACTGTTCCAATTATTATGATCACTGGATTGATAAATAACTCGATATTAAATACTCGTATGAATAGTTAAATGAACTACTCACCCAATCCATTCATATCAATTTTGATTGGTTTCTCAACCCATGATATTTCTGTAACAAACGACATGGTCTTTTGTGATCAATCATTGCCTTTTTTTATTTGATTGTTTGATTTATTTATTTCAAGTAAAATTCGAAATTTAAAGAAACAGCAAAAAAAAAATATTAATTGAATTATAATTGAAACAAATTTCTGTAGATTATGCTAGATAAATTGAGTCCCAAATTTTATAAAACCATATAGTGATAATAGATAGAAAGACTATTAAGCTCAGTTGTAGTCTATTCCTATCATTTCCGTTGCCTAAAATTTTAGATCTTCCTAATCTACTATCGGAAGTATTGTTTCTATGGAATCCAGATCCTTGTTTTTTCTGCAACATATCATCATCTTCTTGACAATGTGATTCTTGTTGATATGGACCAATACAGGCAGCAAAGCCCATTACATGTGCAATATGTGATTGTTCATGAGTACCACCAAAAAGATGTGCCATCGGACCAATTGCATATACGGCTATAAAATTCAAAAATGATAAAACATTATCACAAAAAACACAACAGCAATAAAAAAAACAGATACTTACCAACATCTTCACCGGCATGATTGGCTTCCTTTATGTATATTCCCGAATGAACACGATATTTGAGCTGGTCTATACGGATCATTTTAGAGATGTTCAATATAAACAAATTTCAACTTACATAGATTATCATGAATTTGACTGGCTCGTTGTTTCATTGTCCTAAATCCGGGACCATTTGTATACATTAATGTTGTGTAAGGAATCTGAAAAGAATCACGCATATGACTTTCTCCTTGAATCGGATTACCACGATTAGGATATCCATTGATAACCAATGAATGTGAATGATCAGCCGTGACGACAATCAATGTGTCTTCTGTGTCTAGCAATTCTCTTGCACGATGAATAGCTCGATCCATTTCCAATGTTTCATGTAAGGCAAGTGTAGCGAAACCATCATGATGAGCGTGATCGATACGGCCACCTTCTACTAGCAAAACGAATCCATTTCGATTGTTTCTTAAAACTTTGATAGCTGCTTCGGTCATTTCGGTCAAGGATGGTTCCCCATTTAGACTTCGATCACGAAGTTTTTCATATTCCATATTTGTATAGTTGAATAGGCCGAAAAGATAACGTATCTTGTGGTAATTAATACCATGTAAACTTTGTGTATCATTCACGTAGGCGAAACGTCTGCGATCCTTATCTTGTTTTAAATGAGCTCGTTTCCATTCTTCAATCAGATTTCGACCATCCTTTCGTTTTCCAGGAGCTGAATGTATTTTACCTTCTTGTAACATTCCTTTAGGATCGAATTCTTGATCTGGAATGAATGATTGCCGTCCACCGCCTAGAATCACATTCAATGATTTTCCAGGTTCATCTTCGATCAATTGTCGAGCTATATCTTTACAATTATGACGAGTGGTGATATTTACCACTGATTCATCGATTGCATATTCCCAATCACGATTCTGTGTATGAGCATATGATGCTCCTGGAGTGGCATGTGTCACTCGAGTTGTTGTGACAAAACCAGCTGCCTTGTCAGAATCTATTGCCCATTTTAAAATGGAATCAACGGAACTTTTTTGTACAAGATTGCAGTCAGGATGATCTTTGTTAACTTTGGCTGCTACACCCAATGTGTAAAAATTTGCTTTCACACCAGTTAGATAGGCGGTTGCAGTACCGGCTGAATCCGGAACTTGTTTATCAAGATTGTACGTCTATTAGAGAAAATTAAAGTAAATCTAGTAGTAGTTAAGATTATTAAAATACAAAAATAGAAACCTTGATCAATGCTGAATACGGAAATCGATCAAATTCGAGGGATCCTTCCTCACCATGATGTCCATGAATCTGTCCTTTGAGAATTCGTGAAGCTGTAATAGTGGAAATACCCATACCATCGCCAAGAAAAATGATCACATTCTGAGCACGATAATGCATTGGACGCAATATTTGTAAACGTTCTCGAATATCGGCACGTGCCATCCTATACCAATATCGAGGATCATTCTCACTGTATCGTGTGTAGTCTGTTAAGATGTATTAATGAAATTTATAATAAAATTCGGAAATTTTTGCTATTAAGTTTTTTATCACATAAAAATCTAACAACATTTACCATAGATATCATGATGAGAAGATTCGGCAGCAAAAATCTGATCATCTTGTTGTTCCGTTATTGACGAGCTTGTTGTTTGATCAGAATCTTCATTATTATTGCTTATGGTTACGGCTGACACAATAGACAAAACATGTATAATGACAAAAATTCCATAAAAAGAAAAGAATGAATTTTCATTCCAATTAAAACTTAATCTGAAGATACCGATATTCATGATCATATGGGAAGATTAGATTTTATTGATATGTAGAATAGACAGTATGTTGACAGTCGAAAACAAAATAACAAAATAATTGTAGTGAAAATTTAAAGTTTTTGATTGTGATCGAGAACGATATGGCAATTCAAATAAATTTTTTTTTTTTTGCAATTTGATTATTTCCGATAACAATTTATTAAAATAAAAAGCATTCTTGAATTATTTTTTCAAATAAATAGAAATGGAATGTATTCGAATTGTATTAGATGATGATGATTGACGTAGTTGTCTAAATCAAATAATTCTTCATTGTTTTTTTTTACATTAAATGTTTATTCAGTTGCATATACAATGCAATCGGATCAGACAATCAATCAATGAATGAATGAATGAATGAATGATGATGATGATGATTATTCACGTCAATTCAGTCAATACTTTGATTTGTTATCGGATTTTGATCAACCCGAACAAACAAGAGAAAAAAAATGTAAACGAATCGATCGATGATGATTGCTGCAGTAGTAAATATATGTATTTTTTTATAATCAAATATAAAAACGTCAAAATTTAAAAAAAAAATCAAACATGAAAGATCAGATCAAGAAATTTAAACAAAAAAAAAATATATCGGCTAGATATGGACCTGGATAATGTTGTTGTTCAAACAAAGTGACGATTTTTATATTTTCAAATGAAATGAATAATAATTATTGCTATTTTTTGACTTTCACCATGTTTTTTTTCTGATTATATAAACATAGTATTTATGAGAAAAAAAATGAGAATTAACCTTGAAAAAATTGCATGAAAACAAGGGATGAAAGTTTTTTGCCGAAATAAAAAGATGAAATAGGAGAAAAAGTTTTAAAAAGAAATTTCAAGTTCAATGGAATTGAAATCAAATCATGTTGATTACTTGATCGATAGATCGAATGATTGATTAATTGATGGATCACATTGAAAAATTTATACCAGGTCCATACCAACATACACAAACTGAGATCGAGCACATGGTGTGATGTTTGTGATCATTCATTATAACAACGAAATTACTACGATTGGATCAACGTTGTTTAGAACTTGTTGTGCGACAAACTTGTCAAACTTGTGAAACAACGATGATTGTCGAAGCACTAATGTCCGGAATGATGAAGATGATTGGTGTTGTTATCATATCATCACGGCTTATTCGTCATGGTTTATTAAATTAATCATCCACAACGATGTCTATGTGTGTGTGTGTGTGTGTGTGTGTATCGAATTACGAGAACGAAAATGAAAAACTGGTATGATCGAAGATATTTTATTCGAATGTATGATAACAAAAAAAAATTGAAATCTATTCAAGATTTTTCAGGTGATCATGGTCAATAGTGACAATGCATATTCTATTGCTGAAAATAGAGAGTTGTTATTGAAAAAAGTTGTTATTTTATTTACCAAAATTACATTTAGATATATTATAATGGCGATTGTAAGAAATGTGCTTTAAACATATGAAAAAACGTTTAAAAAGCCAGGATTATTTTTTTCATTTTGTTCCATGCTACTATGAAGATGATCGAAAAAAAATGTCAAAGGTTTTTTCATTTTGCTCGTACATGTTCTATTTTTGGACATCCAATGATACCGAATGCGATAACGATGACAAGGCCAGATGAATTCCACTCTTTTTCTTATACGTGGTTTAGAAAATTTACGTTTTTAACAGTTGATAATCATTATGCGATGACATTGGAGACATTCATGTTTGATGATGATGATGATGATGAAATTCGTATTGTTTGTGAATAAAAATGAGCATATTTAAGTGGATGAATTATCACCATCATCAAAATTTTTGTTTTGTAATTATTATCAATAATTATCATCATCATTTTTGCTTCCTCAGGAAGGATACGATTTTAACGCCATTTTTATATCTGATAATAAACAAATATTAGGAAATTATTGTCTTTTCATTCATCGCAAGGACAATCGATGGCTGTAAAATAAAATTTTCATTTTTGTTTGATGACCATTTCTAGAGCGAAATTTTGGAACATGTTTAATGAATCGAACGAGAATGAATGAATGAATAATGATGGGTGGTGAACCAAATAACTGTATTCACATCGAAACATGCCAACATATAATGTAATAAAATGTATAACGTTTTTATTTATTTCATTCAAAGTTTATTGACATGTTTGTTTTTCATTATTGATTGAGAATGAATCATTCATCATTCATGCAAATATATCATACCCGTATATATTTTAATGATCATTATTACCGATTCCTTTATTGGACAATATAATTTACTAGATTCGTTAGTAATAGATACAGCGAGTACCACCACCAGATACTTTGATCTTGATGTTTAAGCACATCGAACATTAATGCGAATTTCAGAACAAACACTCTGATTTTTGTTGTATTTTAATTGAATTTTTCTTTTGTTCTCGAACAATATTTGCGGTCAATATGATCGGCCCATATCTTGATCAAACATAATGAACGAATTTCCAGTACTCGCCCATTTCATGTTGTTCCCAAATTGTCAAAACGATCGATCGAAAATAATTAATATTCAAGCAATAGCAGTATCGTTTTTTTTATTTCTAATAAATTGAAACATTATTTTTCACATGTAAAAATTGAATCCAGGTTTTTTCATACATTCCTTACAAATCGCCATCATCATAATATTTAAATGTCATTTTAGTTAATAAAATAACAATTGTCTTTTTTCAGCAATGAAATATGCATTGTCACCATTGACCATGATAACCTACAAAATCTTGAAGGAAATTGAAGGAAATACACTCCAAAAAAAACCATTTTATATTCATCTCTTATTTTCGAAAAAAAAAATTCTCAAAGAATTACACAATCGTATAAAAGATGGCGATAGTAGATATTGAAATATATTGTGTGATTCATGTGTTTCATATATTGAAACAAGTGTTCTGACAATCAGCTGAAGACTTTTTTCTAAATCTTGTTCAATCTGATTCACTCTATAGAAAAAATGATACGACAACCTCATTAATTTGAGGTCTATTTTTTCATTCAAAATTTTTTATACCCAATGTTGCGATAATCTGCTGCCAAAATAAAAACCAAATGGAGTTAAATCCATCCATTCAATCTACATCCGATCAAGAACCATCAACATCATTGATGGCAATGTTTTTAAATCAACAGCAACAACGAATGCAATGGTCATTACAATCGCAGCAATTTTGTCAATCATCATTCGGTCATCATTCTTCATTAGGACCACTTCAACAGCCGCAAAATTATCCCCAACCAATGTCATGTATTTATCATCAATATCCATCATCATACAATGCTGCCATTCCTTTTTATGCAATGGACCCATATTCTCAACCAACATTTTGCCAGTATTGGTCTTATCTTCCATTACCAGTTATGGCCGGAGGTTCATCATCATCATCGACAAAGACAGGATTTCAGTATGCTCAACTGCCATTATACAATCATCAGGCAGGAAATCCCTGGCTGACATCATGTCCGTAAGTTTGGGTTTTTTCTGCAAATCTATAATTTGTGCGACATATTGTCACTTTTCGTTTTAATCCTTCATATTTTTTTTTTGTACATTTTCATTTACATAGAAATCAATCTTGTTTATCAACCATGTCGAATAATTCGAATGATTCTTTTGGCTTTGATCGACTTAATACCCGACTTCGCGATGATAGTGCAGCTCGTTTACAGCAACTCATTTCTTTTCCAGAAGACTCAGATCGACCGATTAATTTGGATGTATTGATGCCAAATGGGACGATAATTCCCATTAATGTAGCTCAAAATGCCACATTCTTTGAAATCAAAGAAGAAGTATTTGAATTATCTCAACGTGGTCCAATGTATGGCGCTCTACGTGATCGTAAACTTTATTCATTCTATTATGTAGATGAATTTGGTTCACAAAAAGAATGTGTTGATGAAGAGATTCGATTATGTGATGCATGTCCTGTAGGAAACGTCTTGAAATTGATCGAACATCAGGAAAATATCGATGATCTTGAGCTTGATGAACAAATTGGCCAACTTATAGGCAAATGTAAGTCACAAAAAAAATTTGGAAAAATTCTGTTCTTTTCATTATTTAATTTTTGTCAATAGCATTGAAAGATTTTGATGCTCTTCTGAATCCCGAAGTTAATGAATTCCGTTATCGAATGCGTTCACTGTGCGAAGAGATCGTCAAAACTCGTCAGAATAATTCCTGGTTAGATAAAATGCGTTATGCTTATCCTACCAGTGTCGATCCATCCGATTCGTCGATTCTCCCCGATTATCTTCATGATCGTTTACCGCCAGATGATGTGATTAATGTACAGATCATATTTGATAAACCAGAGTTTTCTATTGTCGTTGCAGTCAGTTGTCAGATAACACCTGGTGAATTACTGCGAGAGTCAATCGAGTTAATTTTAAACGATCCAATACATTCAAAAGAATTACTTAATAACGAACTTAATTCATTCGATACATTCCTTTTGGATTCGAATCATAATCATCAACCAACCAACGAAGAAGAAGAGTCCTATTATGAAGCAAGTTTTCCATCCAATACTCCTTCTAAAAGTCCGAATAATTTTCAATGGCCAAAAAATTTGGCCAATCCATTTATGGATCCAAGTCAATATCTATTGAAAATTAATGGAACTTTAGAATATCTACTTGATAATCATCGCTTGATTCAATATCGAATGATTCAAGAGATTTTATTGCTCAATGATTCGGTTCTACAATTGTTAGCAATACCTCGTCAATCAATAGAATTCGAAGATGAACCCATATATGCGATACATGCTACAATATCTGGAGAATTTCGTCCACGTTCACATTCAATCATTTCTTTGGGTTCATTAGGCAACGTGGCAATGTCGACGACAGCAACTACTAGTCGCCGTCGCGCACAACAAGTGGTCATTTCATCATGGTCATTAGATCGAAAACTATTAATAAAAATTCATTCCGCCCATATTAATCAACTTCAATTTAATAGTGATATAACACGTGTGGCCGTCATGGTTGGCATATTTCATGGCGGTGAGATGCTCTGTGATTCACATATTACCACACCAATAACATTAGCTGACCTGGTCAAAAGTTCACCACAAAACCCAAATATGGAAATTTTCGATACTATCCCATGGGAAGAGGACATTGTGTTTAATTTGAAGGTATCCGATCTACCCCGAATGGCTCGTATCGCATTCACGGTTGTTGGTTTTACTGGATCTCAATCAGCTAGAAAGATAGCACAATTAAGGCAAAAACCAATACCGATTGCATGGGCTAACATTAATTTTTTTGATTATCGTGGTCAACTTTGGGAATCCTCAACAACATTATCAATGTGGCTCCATGATAACGAAAACGAATGTGTGGATGATGCACAATCGGTGTTCAAACCTTTGGAAACGGTCGTACCGAACCCAAACATTGATCAAACTATATTTCTTACTATTTCTTTCACGAAATATTCGGAAGGTGATAATACAGTCATAAGATTTCCAACGCTTAGAGAAATTCTTCGAGAATATCCGATTCAGCAGCAGCAACAACAACAACAACAACAACAAAGCAATGGCATATCATTAACTGAGTCATCATGCAATCATCAACAAAATTCAACACAGATATTGTATGAAGAAAATGAATATGAATCAACATATGATCCAAGAGAGAGAAAAATTTCCGCACAGTCATCACCAGAAGAATTTCCTTTTCTTTCGACAACATCTCAATCATTAGAAGAAGAATCACATGAAGAACATGAACAGAATCTAGCCTTGATTAAAAAGATAAGCGAAGAAGATCTTCTACATCGGATCGAAGAAAAACATCGTGAACTTTTATGGCGTCTTCGATTTGAATGTTGTCAACAATGTCCGGAATCTTTGTGTAAATTATTGATTAGTTTCAAATGGAATAATCAACGTATGATCGGCGATGCTATATCATTATTACAATCATGGCCAAAACTTTCACCTGGTAAAGCATTAGAATTACTTGATTATGCTTATGCGGATAATTTAGTTCGAAAATATGCCATCGAATGTTTAAAAGCTTTATCTAATGAAGATCTTTCACAATATTTGCTACAATTGGTACAGGCATTGAAATATGAATCATATATATACAATGATTTAGTTCAATTCCTATTGGAACGTGCATTCGAAAGTCAACGTATTGGACACCATTTATTTTGGTTATTACGATCAGAAATGCATAATCCAGCCGTTTCCGTAACGTTCGGGCTAATACTTGAAGCCTATTGTCGTGGAGCCATTGATCATATCTATGTAATAATTATTCATGTTTAAGTCTTTATATTATAATCATCGAATTTTATTTTATTCTGAAAACTAATACAGATTCTTAGTCGTCAAATGGAATGTCTAAACAAATTAAAACGTGTCAACATCATCATTCGTGATGATCGTAGTCGTGAAAATCGAGAAAAAAAGATTTGCTGGATGCAGGAAATATTGGAGCAGAAATTTTATCAGGAAACCTTTACGAATGTAATTAATCCATTGAATCCGGTGTATAAATTTGGACGATTAAAAATAAAAAAATGTAAATTCATGGATTCAAAAATGAAACCTTTGTGGTTAGTATTTGAAAATTACGATCCAGGTGCCGGTGATATTTATTTGATATTCAAGAATGGTGACGGTAAGTGTATGTTAATAAATGATTGATTTTAATCATAATATATAATTGCATTTGTAGATCTTCGTCAAGATATGCTTACGTTGCAAATGATTCGAATAATGGATCGTCTATGGAAAGAAGCTGGCTATGATTTCCGTATGACACCTTATCGTTGCATTTCGGTTGAGCATTGTGTCGGCCTTATTGAAGTAGTTCTAAATGCCGATACTATTGCTAATATACAGAAAAATAAAGGTAATGCAGCCATAGCTGCTTTTAAAAAAGGCAGCCTACTCGCATGGTTACGTGACCATAATCCTCAGGAATCAGATCTCAATCGTGCGATTGAAGAATTTACACTTAGTTGCGCTGGATATTGTGTTGCCACCTACATATTAGGTGTGGCTGATCGTCATAATGATAATATTATGGTCAAAAAGAATGGCCAATTATTTCATATTGATTTTGGTCATATTCTTGGAAAGTTTAAAGAAAAATTTGGCATTCGCCGTGAACGTGTACCATTCGTTTTGACTCATGATTTTGTCTATGTGATCACACATGGTGAACAATCATCTAAAAAATCGGAATATTTTCGCCGTTTTCAAAGCTATTGTGAAGAGGCATTCATTATCATTCGAAGACGTGGTTCATTTTTCATATCATTATTTGCCATGATGTTATCGACAGGAATACCGGAAATATCATCGGTGAATGATCTTCAATATTTACGTGAAACATTAGTGTTGGATAAAAGTGAAGAAGAAGCACGTGGCCATTTTAATACAAAATTTATGGAAGCATTAAAAAATTCCTGGAAAACCAGTTTTAATTGGTGTGCACATAGTTTGGCCAAAGATAATCGAATGAATGATAGTTGATCGTCAATATGAAATTCTATTTTCACTGTATTATTCTTGTGAATGAAGAAAAAATTATTATTTTAATCTTTAATGATGATAATCAATATATATGAATCAAATGTGAGATGAAATTGTTATCAATGCTTTATGTTTGTGTATGTGCTAAAACGTTTGAAATGTGTGATATAATAATAAATACATTTTTTTTTGATATAATTATGTAAAAACGTGATGAAAAGTTTTTTTTTAATTCTGAAGGTGTTATGTGCGTTTCAACAGGTGCGTGTGGGTGTGTCTTGAATGTTTAAAAAAAAACAGAAATTCGTGAATGAAATTCAAGTTTGTGATGATTATTGCTTCGATTTGACAAAATGTGAATTCGCTAAATTGATAAGCAATTTGGACAATTTGAAAAAATGAAATAATTAAGCTTCGAGAACACACACACACTTTTATGCACGTTGAATGTGACACATAAAATCATTTCTACAAGATGTAAAATGAAATATTTGACAATCGATATGATACTTTACCTATAGTACAAAACAGAACCATTTTACTACCTGTAATTATGTATTAAATGTAATAGTTTTTTTTACACAGCAAACTCAAAAGGCCCACACACACTCAAGCACAAAAAAGAAAATGCTGACGAAAAAAATTCTAAGCTGTACGTAGTATTAGATGAACACCAGAATCCGTTTCAACCACCTGCGATAATTCACCAACTTTTAAAGCAAATGCAGCTTCTTCGAATGGTTTTTGCATAGCACCACGAGCAAAAAATCCTAAATCACCACCACGTTTAGCTGATGAACAATCAGATAGTTCGGATGCAAGTTCATCTAATGTGGCCACACCGTTTGAAATTTTTTCATGATAATCTTGAATCAATGCTAGTGCTTCCTCTTTGGTTCGTGTGATATGCTCTTCACGCCATGAACTAGGACGTCGTGATTGATTATGTTTGACCAATAGATGCGAACATCGTATCTTTTCATTATCCTTTGTATTGGCTTCTTGTGTAGGTCGATCCCATTGTGATTCTTTAGTGTAAATGTTTAAATAATATGCCTGGCCAGTGGATCGTGATACTCGTTTTTCCCATCCTTTAGGCAATGGTCCATCTTGATCATGTTCATCCTGAGATTGTTGTTGTTGTTGATCTTGTTGATTATTATTGGCATCTTGATTATTGGCGTCCATTGTTGATAATGAAACTGAATCCAAATATCGAATCGGTCATGTGGAGAAATAAAGAAAGAGAAATGTTAAAAAAACTGAATTCAAAATAAAAATTTGAATTTTCAATGAATTATTAACGAATTTGAATAAAGAAAAGAAATTTGGTTTTTTATTGTGCGTGTGTGTGTGTGTGTTTGTTGTCAAATCGATTTGGTTATGCTAGAGTGAAATTATCATTAATAAACAAAAATCTATGAATAGACATCAATATTTTATCCATTAGACAAAAATTTTTTCTTTTCATACACAAACACAATACGACTTACCAATAAATTGTTGTCATAAACACAAGTTTAACTTTTATATATGTAATATATTTTTTTCCAGGCCCAATAGAAAATTTTTCGAATATTTTGTTCAATTTCAATGATAATATCAGATGTGATTTTTTAAACCAAGTTTCACAAATTTTATTGAATGATTCAATAATGAATCCAATGAATATTATTGTTGAGAATTCGATTGGTAGTTGATGATTTTATCACTAAATATTATTGTATTCGTGTCTGTGTGCAATGTACGAGATGTCAAAAAAGTGAATTTGTTTCTCTACAACTATTTTCCGGTGGTTATCGTTATCTAATATATGGAAAAAGGCCACATACATAAACATGCCAAGATAAGCCCAGAGAAAAAAAACCACTTCTTTTCTATTCACTTTCTTTCTTTCTTTCTAAATATATAGAATCCATATTTTTTTCTATCCATTCTATAGAGTATGAGCATGTAAGTAAAAACCAGAATCCATAAATATGAGTAGAGGTATGTTTACGAATGCAATTTTTTTAACACTTTATAAACCCATTGCCCATATATGATCGACATGGAACTTAAACTGTTAATAGTTAAGAAATCTGTCCCGAAATTGAGTAGATTACAAACACAACATGCGCGCCTTCAAAAATGATTTCGGAACGATTGATAGGAGGTAAATTATTAATGATACGAATTGATACACTTTTTTTGACACTATACCGATTTAAATTCACGACATACCGGTTATTATATTGGATCTCCTTTGACTATTTAGTTGAATTTAAAAATGAATCAGTTTATAGTAAACAATGAGAAATGATGATAAATTACAAAATGATTTATAAAAAATGAATTCGATAAATGAGTTGGTTAGTTGGTTTTATAATTTACCATTCGGTGCTAAAATATTACACAGTCTCGCGTGATATCGATATATAGATGATCATCATTCAACTAGTACAACTGCAGATTGATCAAAATACAGATAACGCTCGGTTTTGATTGGATCCTTCAATCCTAAATTCATTATTGTATATCGAGCAGATTCTCGTTAAACAATGATACACTGTATCCTATATTTTAACTTTATTTAAAAGGCGTGGTCTTTGGAACAAGTTTTTATCACGTGATATAACATAAAAATCGCTGAAATTGTGATACAAGAATTCTCCCCTTAAATGAATCAAAACATCCCAAAGTATATTTACTCATCATCATTGGATTGGATATATCCGATCGATTGTAATGATGATGACAAACTACGCCGCATTTATTGCTTTGTTTTTTTAATTATTTTTTTTTTTTTTTGATTTTTGATTATCGAATTTGATTGAAAATAATTTGTGGCGATAATTATTTACTTCTGACTGTTGTACACAATAAATTTGACACTTCATATTGTTGATGAGAAAAAAATTCGTGGTAAGCATGAATCCGTTTTACTATATTGATGATGACCAATTAGGCAAAAAATAGCTCCAATTATCTTGATTATATTTATTTATTATTATTTGTTTTCTTTAACTATTGCTTTTGAAAAATAAAAATAAAAATTAAATGAGTCATCATGTGATATCGTTTCTAATTTTGCTTTATAAATTTGAATACTCAATTCAATCATATCTAATGTTTTTTTTCATGGCAATTATCTCATTCATCGTTTTTTTTTATTCTCTGCTTTTTAGACTCGTTTTCATTTCATTTTTTCGATCCTTTCTATTACTGTTTTAGTTTTTATTGACACACCGATTTGATTCAAAAGTATGCGTTTTTTTGTTTTGTTTTGTTTACCTGATTAATTGATTGTTCATTAATCAATTCATTTTTATTTTTATTGGTTGTTATACATGTAACAAAATTTAGCTGAAAAATCGTGAAAGTTGTTTTTGACTTTGATTGCGACAATTTTTTGCACAAAACCACCCCCTGAATAAAATCAATTTTTGATGGAACCATCTCAATCATCCAATACACCGTCATCATCATCTACCCGTAAAGATTGATTTTGGCTCTATTTTTTGACTTTTCATTGTTCGATGGAATTTTTTCTTATTAAATAGACAATAAACGAAAACAGGCCAGGCAGTCATCATCATTTGCGGGCTCGGATCTGGATCGTCGACAGCTTCGTGAATTGCGTCATATAAATCATTTGTTGAAAAAATATGATCCGAAATCATTGGATGAAATCAATCGTGAACAACAAAATCAAGGCCTTTCAAATAGAAATGTTCATTTGCCAGTAGCAAGCACTAGTGCTGCTACATCATCATCATCATCATCTAATACAAGAAACATTCGTTATCGAACATTAACAAAAAAAGAACGTCGAGCGCATCGAAAAAAGCAAGAAAAAAAAGTACAACGTCAAGATAATCTAAGTGGTGAACTTCGCCACTATCTGGGCTCAGCCATTAAAAATTCTTTAGGTCATATGCATGATCATATAATTGCAACATTGCCAACAGAAATGTCCTTATATTATCAAAAAGTACACGATACGTTAGTGTTGGATGTAAACCAAGATGATAATAATTCCAATCAAAACTCGAATCCGGCTAGTGGACGACAAATGATGAATGAAATGCATGAATTCATTACGACTTCATCAGTTGATGCCGATCTTGAAGCCACTAGCAATAGACCATCATGCTCATCTAATCCTACCCAATCAGAACAAATGACATCCAATATACATTCATCGAGATCTCGACCTCATTATTATGCATCGCACAATCCATATGCACCACCAATGCATAAACCGGGCATTCTGCCCATCAGAGATTTTCTCCATGATCCATTGAACGCATCGTTGAACACTTTGAATCGTGTAACCAATTTGGTCCGTGTTCCCACATCTCAAATCTATTCACATGGCTATAATATACTCAACAATCTGGCCAGTCCAGTTAATATTCAGCTCTCGACATCACCTACTGTTCCACGTCCGCCAGGAACTGCTGAACGTATCGTTCGTAAAGATGATGACGAGATGCCGGTACCTCCACCAGTGTTGCCATTAATTCAATGTACACATCAACAGACTCGTCTTGAGCCTTTGGATTCGGAAGAATTTGATGTAAAAACTTGGACAATCGAAACACTTCGACAACGTGTATTTCATGGTGTATGTATTTTACTGATAAAATTAACTGAAATATTAATGGTAATAATTATAATTGATATTATTATTCCATGACATGAAACTATTAGGGAATTTCTGAGAAACTTCGTCTGCGACTTTGGCCATATATACTTGGACTTTATGATGGTGATAATGATGTTGACGATTGTCGTGAGCAATTTGATTGGTCATCAAAACAAAAACTATTTGAGCGTTATCGATCACAGTGGAAATCCATTTTGCCTGAACAGGAAAAACGATTCATGCTGTTTCGAGAGCGTAAATCATTAATTGGTAATTATTGTATTTTACATATAGTTATGTCCTGATATATTGATATATGATGAATATATTGACTTTCATCACACAGAACGTGATGTGATTCGTTGTGATCGAACTCATCCATTCTATCATGGTGATCGCAATGAAAATTTGGAGAAATTGAAAGAAATTTTATTGACTTATATGATGTATGATTTTGATACTGGGTACGTGCAAGGAATGTCAGATTTGGTCTCACCATTACTATATGTGGCCGAAGGTGATACCTGTAAAGCATTCTGGTTTTTCGTTCAGACCATGGAATTCACTGTGAGTTATAGAAAATTCTGACTTTATTTAGTGATAATTAGTAATGTTAATCTGTAGAACAATAATTTTGAAATGTCACAATTGACAATCAAACATCAATTGGAAATGCTGTGGAAATTGATTGAATTGACAGATCCAATTTTTGCCCAATACCTCGGTATGATTATTGTTTGAATGTTTGATGAATTGTTTGCATATTACTTATATTTTTTCAGCTAATAATGACTCAGTCAATTGTTATTTTGCATTCCGTTGGATTGTGTGTCAATTTAAACGAGAATTCATGAAATCTAATTCTGATGATTATCAAGAAGTTTTATTATTATGGGAATCAATATGGACTTGTTCATCGATAAAAAAATATTTCAAAAATTTACGTCGACAACAACAACAATCCTTATCCGAAGAGACATCGAAATCAGACGATCAAGAGCCATCGACATCCCAAACAAATGTTGTAAATCTGCAAGTCGAAGATGATAGTAATATTGAAGGTGATTGTATAGCCAAAGCAGCATCAGATTTAGCTATAAAAATTGACGAACAATGCAAAATTGTCGATGAAAAGTCAGAGTCAATCGATAGTACAGAATCGCAAGAATCCATGACGACCACTTATAGCGATGGATCTAGACGACTTTCAGACACTGAATTATATGTGTTATGCATATGTTTAGCTATCATTCGTCGTGAACGTGACTTAATCATGGTCCAACGCTTTGATGCTACAGAAATATTGAAGGTTAGTGATTTTGACCAAGCTTAAAAATTCTTATGATTTTTTAACTTTGAATTTAATAATGCAGCATTTCAATACGCTTCAATTGACCACGAATTTGAAAAATATCCTCATACATGCGGCTAACATTTGGTCATGGCTCATATACGATGATAATGAAAAGTTGTTATATGCTTCATCAACTCGAGAGCACTTATCGATTATTGGTGATCATCAAACAAGAAATCGTAATAGTGAGGAATCACAGCCATCAAACATTCGTAATCGTAATCAACTATCACCAGCTAATGGTGAAGCTATCGTTGATGAAGATTTCGATCTACTACAGGATCTTCGTTTACCACTGGATCGTTCAGCCAATGGATCATCATCGCCGGCAACCATGCCAAATGCACCACTGGCTAGTGATGATTATTATATTTTTAGTTGAATTTTTTTTTTACTGAACGAATACCTTTTGTTTTCATTTTTTTCTGAACGAAAATTGATTAATTTTAATTTGAAGAAATTTTCCTAATTAAAGAATTAAACTGTGTTGTTCAACATAAAACCAATTTTTCTTTGTCCAGCTAAATGATCAGCTCGAAAATCAGCTAAATCGAAATGTCAACATCAATTGCATGGTTAATCTTTATTTTGCCATGAATCTCATTCTATCGGTTTCGACTCATTATTTGTTTATTTATTTTTTTAAGGCTCTATTTTTCATTTAATTTTTGTATCGAAATGAATTGGATAAGTGTGAAAAAACAAGCAAAATATCTTTTATTCGATTTTATTTGGCAGTGATACATAGTATGGACATTATAGAATTTGTTCGATTGCTTTTGGAAATTATAAATGATGATGATGATTAGAAAATTAACAGATTCAATTTCCACCAGCCAACCAATAGCCATATCATTGGCGATAGAATATTTTTCGTGGCTGCATTATTTGCTTGAAGTATACCATGATGATGATTATATGATTGTGGTAGTTTCTGTTGTGATTTTATCGCAATTTGATTGTTGTTATTGTTATTGCTATTATCATTATCACAGATCAATTTTGAATCCAAACACGTTGTCATCATCGCCGTCACCGTTGATTTTCCTTTGAATGATGGTCCATTATCTTCATCGTCAACATCACTTATAATTTGTTCATTTTGGACAATATTTCGTTTTTTGAGAGTAGCATAGTTCATAGTTTGTGCTGAATTCTGATTAAACAATTCTATCTCATTGCCCGATGTTGCGGCTGTCGTTGTTGATACCAATTCAAATTTATTTGATGGCATAACAGTGGGTAGTTCGTAGACGCTTTCATTGGACACACAGAACCCATATGATGGCAATTGTTGTTGTACATTTGTCGCCGTAAGGCAATATCGTGGTTCACTTTGTGATAGATTTGTCGTACTATATGGAGTACAATATTGATCTGAATGATGACGTAAAGGTGTCCCGTTAATGCTTGGATGTGTAGATGTGAATCCACCGCTATTACTGCCCATAGTTGCATGTAGTGTATCGTCATATTGTTGTTGTTGTTGTTGCTGTTGTTCAAATTGATGCTGAAGAGATGAACGTTGGTGTTTGGTTCCTGTTACAAAACAGGCGACTAGAATGATCACAGTAAGAACTATCACAGAACAAGTTGCCGGTATGACAATGGTCAATGATTGCATTGAACTAAGCGTATTCGCTCCACCGCCTGGATCCATAGAGCCTGAAGATGCCGATATAGAATTGGCCGATTTTAATGTGCGTGAAATAGTTTCTATTGGTGGAATCGTTTCACCATTCATGGTCAATGTAGCGAACATGTAGGTTTCCTCAGTGGTTCCCATGTCTGTCAAAGCAGCCATGTTAAGCAGATACCATGTTGCTGGTCGCAAATCCACTAATTCAACGAAACGTTGTTCTCGAGGTGAGATTTTCGATGAATCGACAAGCCAATCGGAATCAATTCTCGGTCGATACTTGAGCACAAAGTATTTGATCTCACATCCGTTCACGAGCCAGGCATCCAGACGAATCATTGCTACGGTTGAGTTGACCGTAATGAAAGAATTCCAATTTTTAGGCGCTATCGGTACTGAAAAAAATCGTCAATATTTGAACCACTTTTGCAAAACTTACCAGATCCTTTGGTTCTAACAGCAATCGCCTGACTAGGATCGCCTTTACCTACGTTATTGTAGGCAATAACATAGAACTGATATTGTGTGCCACACAATAGATTCGTGAACGTGTATGAATTCTGTTGCGAATCAACTTGTCGCTCTTCCCACTCTCCAGATTGGGAAGACTTCGCATACAGGAAGTAACCGGTAATTTCTGGTACGTTCGAGTTGGATGTTTGCTGCTCTGCAGCGTACGAATCGTCGGTTGTTTCTATCGACCAGCTAAGCTCAACTGAATCGTAGTTGACGTTGACCGATGTCAAAATGGGTGCTCGCGGAGGATCGTTCACAAGAGTCTCACCGATGATCTCCTCTGATTGTGGTCCAGGACCGATTCTGAAACGATAAAGCATGAGTTTCAAACCAAAAATCATTGAAATTCAAACCTATTGAAAGCCTGGACGATGACCAAATACTTTGTCGCGCGGCGAAGATCAGTAATCTTCACCTCTTTGCTTTGAGTCGAAGGCTGTAAGGATTTTTCCTCAACAACTTTCTTAAACATGAAGTGTTCATCCAGATCGACCGCTTTGTAGCCGACATAGTAGCCCAGAATCTGACCATTTTGATGATCAACCCGAGGCGGTTGGAATGTAACCTGTAGCGAATGTGCACTTGATGGATACACATGAATGTTTAACGGAGGACCAGATGGCGCTAGAAAAAGCATAAAATCATCAGCATATCCCAATATCGAATTAGTGTATCCTAACCTTCTTCTTTAGTCGTGATCTTAAGTGGTGGCATCTGAAATGGACCAAAACCCAATTTGTTTTCGGCTTGAATTCGAACTTCATAGGTGGTCATTGGCTTGAGAGAACGAAGACTGATTGACGATTCTGTTCCCACCAAAGTTTGACGGAATATTGTGCCTGGCGTCTTCGATGATGGCTGGTGTAGTTTACCATTTTGTTCGTTTATAATCTGCTGCTGTAGTTCGGCTGTTGCATCCAAATGATGCCATGAGGGCAATGTTTCCAACCATTGGCGATACTCTGCATGAAATGCAATGACCGGGCTGTTTCCAGAATATGGCTGGGACCAAGCAATAACAGCAGACCGACTGTCTAGTTCCAACACGTGCACGTTTTCCGGCTTTCCAGGTGGTTCTAAATTTGGATAAATCAAAATAATGGAAGGTTATTCTAGAATCTAGATTCTAGTCAAAGTTACCTTGGACTATCAGTTGAAAGTTGTATTCATCCTTGCCGAAATTATTGGTGGCCAAGCACGTGAACAGTGAAGAATCACGGCGATCGACGTTTGTGATACGGACAATGTATGAAGTGATTGCTCTATCCGACTGACCTGTAACTCGTTTCAGCAATTGATATCGATTATCTGTGTGCAGTGTCTGCTGTTCAAGCGACGGATCCGATGATAACCGATCAAACACAGAGCCAAAGTCGAGTGGCATTCTGTCCTTGGCAACTTGCATCGAAACGGGCAATTCGCCATAGGCATCGCAAGAGAATTCTGTAGAATCTCCTCTCTGAACGGTGTGAGCCGAGAATTTACTTTTGAAGTGTGCAGGCACTGTGAGAATGAGACGATAAGTGACTGTGGTTGCCTAGTCAAATCTTACCATGGACTTTGAGTGTGATAACTTTGCTCAATCCCGAGCCTACGCCATTGTTGGCTTGACAGAGATAGACGCCGGAATCTTCTTCAGTCACGTCACGAATCATGAGACTACCATTTTCCAGGGTATGCATGTGAGAGTTGCTGACCACAGTGCGGAAGTAATGAACGATAGTCGCTTGTTCTCCGTTGGTTGGACTTATCGACGACGAAGATAGGCCGGAAAAGGATGCTAAGCTCTGGGATTTGTCATGAGCCCGTTCCCACCAGATTCGAGGCTCACCGCTGGCCGAACAATCAATGACCACATTTTGGCCTTCAATGGCTTCGGTATCAGTAGGCGGAATTTTCCATTTGGGAGGCACTACCGATAAAAAAATAAGTAACGCATTCAGATTCAGCTTCTAAAAATGTAGTTACCGTTGACTTTGACGACAATCGAGTATGTTGTGACAGCTGCCATGTTGGATGCGATGCAGGTATAGTTTCCAGAGTCTTCAGCAACCACTGAAGATATGAACAAGGTGGCCGAAAATTCGTTGGTTACATCCAACTTGATTCTGCGTGAGTCACTTCTGCTTTGGGTGTCGTGGATAGGCTCACCATCCTTCAGGAAGTGGATTAGCACTGGAGAATCCCCCTCGACTACCGAACAGGTAAGCATTACTCGCATGCCTTCTCGAAGATTGGGTGGTGGACTGAAAGGGCTGATGACGGGTGCAACCAGAATTCGAATGAACAGCTCAGCACTGGCCGAACTGGAGCCGTTGGGCCCAGTCACCACACAACGGTAAGCTCCTTCATCCGTGTTACGTTCGATTTTTTCGATGACCAGCGTGCCATTCAGCAGCGACTTATGGCGATGGTTCTGTGGCAAACGGTTACCTTGATCACTAGACGACGACTTTTTGAACCAGACAATCGATTCAAGTGGATAACCAGCCGCCGGACAATGCAGATGGACTGTGTGACCGGAAATGACAGTCAGGTTTTTCATTTGACGTACGAATGCCGGTCCGTAGACGTTAATGCGACCAGAGTGACTAATCGAGTGGACGTCGTTGGATGCTGTGCACGAATATCTAAACAAGCAAAGTGGATATTTGCATATTACAGAACCAATAAAACTTACATGCCACCATCTTCTGCACGAAGAGAACTTATGTTGACGAAGCTGTTGACAATACCGTCGCCATTAACGTAATCACCAACTCGAATTCGTCCATTTTCGACCAATGGAGCACCATCAAGCGTCCAGACAATCTGCGGCAAAGGTGTTCCCGTAGCTGAACATTTGATCGAGAAAGATTTACCAGGGCGCAGTGGTTCCGTGATCGTGAAAACCGTGATGAACGTTGGAGGATCATCAGCCAATGCCAACTCACCACTGGCTTGAACCGATTCAAATTCATTGCTGACGATGCATTGCTAGAGAATAAAACGTAAACATAAATTAGATGTTGTTTTACGTTTTTTGAAATACTCACAAACATGCCACGGTCTTCACGACGAACTTGACGGATCTGAAGCATTCGATCCTGGTGCAATAAATGCACACGATGGTTAGGATGTTGACGAGCACTCGTTGTTGTTGCTTGAGCCACCATTAATGGCCGGGCATTCCTACGCCAATGAATTTGTTGAATAGGCGAGCCTCCGGTTATCGTGCAATTGAATGTGACAGTGTCGCCATCGGAAGCTAATATGTGTGATGGAATCATGGTTACACTCAACGGAGCCTTGACAACCAATTCCATTTCGATGCGATCTTCGCCCAGTGAATTGTTGGCAACACAGACGTAAAGACCAGAATCGGCAACGGTTGCATCACGAATGAAAAGCGAACTATCCACTTGAACGAATCGACCAGCACGACTAAGGCGATATGGTGTTATGTACTGATCTCCGTTGAGCAATTCATTCTTGTCATTGATAACAATTGATTTGTCGTTTGGTGGAACTTGAAATTTCCATACCTGGAGCCGTTGTAATCTGTTTACAGCGATTACCGACGATAGTAAACTATGATGGGAAGACTGGAAATCGTTTGAGGTTGGTGTGGCACGATACCATGTAAATAATGGCCAAGGTTGTGCTTGGGCCACACAAGGCAACTCGATTGTTTGACCAACATTAGCTATGATTTTTTGTCTACCAGGACTATTGGCCATAATTTTTGGCGGCATTTTTGTCTGTGGTTTTGTGACAATCAGTCGTACATAATTGGCACTTAATTTAATCATTCCACTCAAAGTGTGTTTTGTTTGACACCGGAACATCATTTTTTTCTTCCGTTTATGACTATGATGATGTCGATCTTTTTTCATATCATCATCATCATCATCATTATTTTCATCATCGATGCCATCATCATTGTAGATTCTATGTACATGAAGCTCGCCATTGGGCATAACACTGTAACGTCCACCTACCAACATATTGATTCATTGATTGATTTTTTCAATTATTTCGAAATGAATAGTTTTCATTATTTTCTAGTGTATATGAGTGAAAAAAAGTTTTCTGCAAAATCTAAATATCTTGGAAACCTGGTACAAGACAAAACCAGATTCTTTTTTTCTCTCTAGAGACATTCATTGTGGTTTGTTTGAGAAAACATCGTATATAGTGATGGATCTCATCTCTTTCAGTGTTGTTCAACACAAAAAAAAAATCTGAAAGGTTTTTTTTGGATCGATTTTCTGTGTTTCTGTGCTTGTGTGTTTGTCAATACTATTTACAACAACAAAAATTGATTGTCCATCATTTGTGTCTGAATAAAACCAAGAAAATTGATTCTGTTATTTACCAAATTCTTTCATATTATTTCAGACAAATCAATCAAATGTTTTTGCATTATTAAATAAATTGAATTTAAATCGCTCACCTTTAATTAAATCCGAAGTTATCGGATGATCATCATCGCCATAACGTAACCAATTTGTTACATGAACGTATTCGCGTGCAAAGCTTGGTATATGACATCGAAGAATCTTGTTTGCACAAAAAAAAAGATGAAAAATGTTCAGAATTAGAGATCGATTAAAATTTATAAACACTTACTCCAGTATTTCCTTCAATGGCGAAATCATCATAAACTTGAATTTCATATGGCTGTCGAACGCCTATTATGAAACAAACAAAAGAAAAAATATTTACTAACGACTTTACCTATTTTTTCTTTTATTCTCTTTTTTATTTTTGTTTTAATTTCATTCTTATGAACTAAATTTTCAACAATTTCAAGTCATGCATTGTTTTTTTTTCTTTCTAACGAACAAAGCGAGAAAATATTTTTAAAATCATATTTTTTTTGCCTCTATTCTTGTTGTTGTTATCGACGATTGGCTGATAAGTTGTTGGTTGATTGCTTTTTGATATTATTTTTTTTTTCTACTCAAATTGGAATCCACCAGTAGAGTAGAATATGAAAAAAAAGAATCAAATGGAAAAATATTGAAAATCCAGTCAACCAGGAAAATCTTTTGCTTTTCTCAAATTCTATCGCTAAATTGTATGCAAGAGAATTCATTCACTGATCTCAAGCTGCTCATATATTTTTATTATGTACTGGTTAATATTCCAAAAGTGAAAAATATAATGATTCCCTATTTTTTTCGGCATAAAAGCAAAAAAAGCCATATGTCCAAACGACGATGGTGATGATGAAGAGATGATGCTGAAAATTATGGTTCGATTTCCATGTGGCCATCAGTTTTCTTCGAAATGAAAAAAATATTCGAAATTTAACGCTTCATTTGATTTCTGTTGTGCCACTGTAAATAAAGTGTGCCTTTTTCTTTGCTATCGATACCTATTTTTTTCCCACCGTCACCATCTTCATCATTTCATCATCATTGAATCACCACTTCAATAAGTCGATTCCATTTTTGTTTATTTGTCCATTTATTTGTGATTTCCATTTGATTCATTCATTCGGTTGGGTACGATTCAATTCGATTGGATTGAATTCGTTTATATTTTTTTTTCTTAGTCTTTTTTGTTTGACGATTTCATCGGAGTCCATTCAACCAAACGATCCATTTATAACTGTAGTATATTTCTCATAGTCGCCTGGTCGGTTGGCTGGTTTGTTGATTTGACATGACTTTTATAGAATTTTTTAGATTTCATGCTGACTTTTTTTTCATCTCTTCTCTTTCGAATGACTGACGATTCATTATTATGATGTGCGTATGTGTACGTCGTCTTTCATGAAACGAAAGAATTGAATCTTGTCAGTAGGTCCATTTTTTTTTGCCATTTTGATTCCATATTTTCTTATCCGTAATTTTTCATTCGATGATGGCATTTTTTCTTCTAATTATATTATCATTATTGTCGTTATTGTTTAGATCATTCAGAGATTTCATTCAATTTTATATTTTCGTTAGTTTATGAATTTTTTTTCCGATTCCACCGCAATATTTTTTCTGGTTTTTCTTTTCTTATTCACAACATGTCTGATCATTTGATCATCTGATAATCATTGATTACATATACACACACACACACACATAAATTTACTGAAAAAAATAGAGAAGACACAAATACGGCTTTTTTTGTCCTCATGATACTGATGATTACGGTAATAATGAAAATAATAATAATAACCGATCTTGGATAATAGTAATAATAATAACACTTGACCGTCATATACACATTTAATTGCCCTAATAATAACGATCTTCAGAACACCACCATCATCATCATCATCATCTATAGACCATTTTTGTGTTATTCGGGATTTCTCTTTCATTGCTTACAAATATACAATTCCGGACTTTTCACTAGATTTTTTTTCTCTCGATAGTAACAAAATTGATGATGATGATCATTTCTCATCCATAAAAAAGAAATCCTATATATTGTTGTTTTTTTTTGGTGGTCTGTGTATATATCAAGCCTTCAAGACCCGAACAAAAAAAAATCGTTCATTGATATTGATGTAGTATTTCTATTTCGATTATTATATTTTATATATTGTATATAATACAGGGGAAAGTTCATAATTCTTTATCTATAGTATGTTGTTGTTGTTGTTGTTTACTATAATGTAGATATCGTATGTGTGTGTGTGTGTGTGTGGATTATAAACATCCAGAAAAAAATGGATAAACTTAAACGGTAAAATATACTTGAATATCAAAAAAGTAACGGCCATTATGGTAGTCGAATATATATGGTGTTTTTTTTTATTAGTAGTAGAGTTTTTGGCAATCGAAAATTAATGATTATAGATTTTTATATATATATTGAAGAAGAAGAAAATTTTGCAGTAGCAATAATAATATTCGAATCTGGATGTATGATTCTTTCTAATGTTGTCGTCAATGTATATATGATGATCCTGGATTATTATAATTACTATTATACTAACAACTAAACGAAAAAAAAGGTTCTTTGAATGTTTGTGACTTTTTTTTACTGTATGGGATTTGGAATTATTATTATCATTATTATAAATGGCTTATATACAAATAGAAATATCTATCTATAGTTGGTCATTTGTTGTGCACAAAACGAATGTTATCATTTAAGTTTCTGAGATCAACAAAAATTGAAATATCTAATCAACAACAACAACAACAAAAAAATTTCAACGAAACACACAAAAAAGTGTCAACTAATTAAATTTGTTGTCATTTGGGAAAAAAAATTGTTTCAAAAAAGCTTTTCGATTCTTCATTCAATAGCTACACACACACACACACACACACACGGTAGAAAGAATGATTCACAATGATTTGTGAATGATTTTTCTAGTTGTTTTTTCTATTCTCTCTCTCACTCTCTAGCTCAATCAATGTTCGATCCAACCATCCATCCATTTGGTTCTTATCTTTTTTTTGGCCTCTTTTACTCTCGTGTTCAAACACATCGAAAATGCCATTACCCGTCAAAGTGTCCATTCGAAAGTACGATGATGATGATGATGATGATGATGGTTAAGTGATAGTCAAAAAAAAGAAGCGTATGAAGATGTGTGTGCCTATGGCCTCAACATGACACTGTCAAGTTTTTTTTTCTATTTTCTGGTTTTTTTTTGGAAAAAAGCTGTCATTCAATGTTCGGAATGAATTTTCTCTTCTTTTTTTTCAGTTTAGCACAAAACATTCTGATGATGATGATGACGGTCGATCGTTCATAGAGGGGTAGAAAAAAAATTTATGGAAAATCGTAAAGTCAAACGCAATGGCAAAACATACACACACACACATCACACACAAATGCATGCATGCATTCAATTTTTTGCGTTATTCGGATAGGTCAAATAAAACAAAACAACAAAAAAAACAAAAAAAATATCTCATCTCTTTGAAAAAAAAAATAGTTGACATTCATGAATTGATTTCTTTGAAACAAATAAAAAAAAGTTTTTTTCTGCATGTTGTTCTTTGATGTATCCGCAAACCAAAATATTTTTTTATTTCTGGTCGAACCCAACCAAAAAAAAAAAAAAAAAAAACAACGACAAAAAAAATATTCATAGATCGATCGATTTGCAACCTTTAAGAAGATGGATGAGATTGACAAATATTTTTTTTTTCTCATCATTTTTTTTTGACTTTACGTTATTACTAGAATCTGACTAACGATGACTGAAAAGAGTACACTGGTTTGCATACAACGTACCACCCAAAAAAAAATTGGAAATTTCCAATTTGGTGCCATCTCTCTCATCGTCTCATTGACATGTCAAATTGTGGAATTAAAAGAATTACGAGGGAGAAAAAAAGTTTTTATAACAACTCAATAGATCCACATACACACACACACAATAACTGTGGTTGAATGATTCAAAAAAAAAAAAAAATGATCATCATTATCATCATTCGTAATGACTCCACCTCCTCATTTTAACGAAAAATCATTCATTTCAAACCAAGAAAAAACCTCTGATCGGACATATTCTTATTTGATATATTCTCAGATTCGTAAACTATACATTTTGTAAATTTAAAGAACACCAGAGAGCCACCATGTTAATGTATGTTCATTGAAACTTTTTTCCGAAATGATAATTGTTATTATTGAGAATAATAATAATAATAATAATTTCTACATTCTAATTTTCTTGTTCCTTTCGTATATTTCATATATATTAATGAATTTTTTCTAGCCTGTCATTCAAAAATCTCTAGCTAGGATTTATTTGGCTATTTTTGGGCCATTTGATATATCATAGAATAAAACTTCAATTATATTCATTCATTCATTTTCTCTAGTTGTTGTTGGAAAAGAATTCATATAATAATTCTTTTGGCCCGTTGGCCAATTCGTGATCATGATAATAATAATAATAATGATTGGCTATTTGAATATCGAACAATAAGTTATACATTTCTCACTATTCTATATAATATATATTGAACATTGATTGAATTTCCAATCAAAATGAGGAATTCGTAAATAGAAATGAATTAGAGGCAATAAAGTGTTAATGTAAGAATGTTTTCATTTTCGATTCGTTTTTCATTTGCCAATGGCCAATATGATTTGATAGAACGTGAAGCAAAAAATAAAGATTTTCTATTCGCTTTATCAGTTAGGTTTTGTACTTGATTGAATTTTATTCTAATCAATCATACAAAGATAGATTTATAATAATTTGATCACAGAATCAATAATAATCTTGATTTTTGAATTTCCGGTACGTTTTCTATCGTAGTTATATTCAATTTACGTTTGTACGTTTCCAGAAGAAACCGAATAACCAACAGATTGTATGGCCATTTTTTTTTGTTTGAATGGTAAATTCCATATTACAAGATAAATGAATTATATAAAAAAAATTTGTTTCAAATTTTCTCTGCTATATACACATTTTTTACATCTACTGACATTTACATCGTTTTTCATGCAAACACACATAATTGCCATTTTAAATCGTTATTATTATCAAAAAAAATTTGAATAAAAAAACGAAAGAAATGAAAAAATTTTTGCTTAACACTTACTGGCACGAATATGTACATCTTGACTTTGAATGGATCCAATTTGATTGGTGGCCACACAACGTACGATACCTGAATGAACATCCTGTCTATATGATGATGCTGAAAATGGCAAATATACAAGCTGTGTTGTAAGTAAATCTTTACGTATTTGTCGTAATCCATTTATCTGTATTAATGGTGTTCCATCGGCTCTTGTCCATGTGATTGTTGGTGCTGGTATTCCTGATAAAAATTTTTCAGTTAATCATCAATTGTGTCTAATAAAAAACAATTCACCTTTGGCACTACAGGTTAGAATACAGCCAGTATCATTTAAAAATATCACCAAATTAGGTGGTTCAACCAAAAATTCTGGTCCACGTTTTTCTAATTGATTTTTACTTGATAATAACAACGATGATGATGATGATGATGAATGTGATGATGTTGCTTGAGCTAAATGAAAAAATCAAAAACAAAATTAGAGTTCATTATAACTATAGGTTCTGATTCATTTTCAAAAAAAAAAAAAAATGAAATGAAATGTCAAAAAAACTAAAGTCCAAAACAAAATATACAAGAAAAAGAAAATATTGCAACATTATCTTTGTGATCATCTTCTCATTATTAATATGGGAAAAAAAGTAAAAAAAAAATTTTAAAAAATTTCATCATTAATTTTCATCCCATTGGAATTGGTGGTATACGACGACGACGACAACGACAACGACAACGACCACCGCCATCACCATCATCATGATGCTCAAATAACAAATTAGCTGTATAGAATAACAACATGCAAACTAATGACAAACGAATTTTTTTCTTTTTTTTTATTATCAGCAATGTCGTTGTCTTCTATTCTAATGATTTAGTCATAATAATGATGATGGTAATCATGATGATAAAGTCTTAAGTTTAACTTTTTTTTGCAGTTTTTTTTTATTTAGTTTAGATTATTTTTTTTTTTTTTTTGAAAAAGTGATTTTAGTGGTAAAATGAATTAATGTACGTATACGTTTGAAATGCATGTACTAAAAAACCTTAAACACAAAACCCAAATGACAAACCAGCAAAAAAAATAACGAAAAGGAGGAATTTGACTAAAATCAAGTCGAATTTCTTTCTTTTTTTCTTTTGCAGAAAAAAAATGAGAAAAAAAACAATTAATATTAGTTAAGATGTTGAGAACCTTATAGTTATAAGTTTAGCCAATTATAGCCTGTGCTTAAAATTTGCCAAAATAAATTTCATTTATATTCTTCTTTGAATTTCTTCGCTAGCTTTCCTGTGCGGGAAAGGCAAAAAAACGGGATTCATGAAATAGGATTCTCTAATTAAATTGTTATTAATCATCGCCACATCATTTTTTTCGTCGTTTTATTTATTTATTTTTTTTTGGTTTATTATTTATTTACTTGTATATTGTATTGAAAACAGAATCGTGATATTGTGTAAATATCCATTTTGATAATCGTTCATTTGGATTCTTGGATTTCGATTTTCAAAAAAAAAAAACACTGTTGATGATTCAGATTCAGATTCAGAGTTGTGTTTTGTTGTTTTTATTGTTGTTGTTGTTGGTCATATTATATGATGATGATGATGACATTTTTGGGATCAACATTTCTGTTTCATTTGATCCATTCTCGACATTTTTGGTTTCAAAAAAAAAAAAATTTATTCTTATCGCTGTTTCTCATGTCTATATGGGATTAACATTTCCACTATATCGCTAATAATATTAATGTGATTCTTTTGAATTAGTTTCATCATCATCATCATATCAATGTAATTCATTTCAATTCGATTCTATAGAATAGTGTAGTATGTTGAACTTTTGCTTCGTAATTCGTATCAAATTCTGTTTTTTTTTCTTTGTCAAAAATATAAAAAAGTCATCTGAAAGGGATTACTTTGTTTAGTTTCAAAAAAAAATTATCAAATTCTTCTATTTTTGTTTTGATCTTTATTCTAGAGTTGATTTAATAAGAGAAAAAGTGAAAAATTTCAAATTATACCTTGTTCATGATGAAATATTACATTGATGATGATGATGATCATTAAAATTACAATAGAAAATGATGATGAAGATGACAATAACATTCGACAGATTGGTTCATCATTCACTAAACGTTTTCGTAGCTTTTTCATCATTTCTGTTTTGATTTATTATTGTTGTGGTTTCGTTTTTTGTGCGATCTGATTCGATCAATAAACTTATTGATATTCATTCATTTTTAGTATGCAAATTTTTTTTTTTTTTTTGAAAAATAAATTGTTTAGAAAACAACAATAACAACAAGAGTCAAATGTTAAACGTTGCAGACTATCGTTATGTTTTTTTTTGTTAAATTTTTTTTTCAAGTATCCTTTATGTCGATGTGATCAGAATTTTCAATTAGATGTGTGTGTGTGTGTGTGTGTGAATCACTTAAACTTTTACAAAATGCATGGACACGAAAAAGGTAAAATTGCGTGCAGAATCAAGAAATTGTCGTATTTTTTTTCTTGTGTCCATACACTCAAATACACGTTGAGAATAAAATGGCAGAAATTTTAAATATGAATATTTTAGGGCTGATAAACGATTGAATTAAATGAATTTTCGGTGAAAAACACGTCTGTTGTAGAAATGTTCACAATCAGAATTTGAATATCAATTTTGTTTGTTGCTGTTGTTGATGATTCGATCATTCACTGAACAAGTCTAACTGTTTTCTGAGAATCTTTTTTATCGGCACTTGTACTAACCTGAATCGAATATATTGTGGATATTTTATTTTCTGGTCATTGTCTTGCGTAGTCAAATGGCCGCCTGCCGGTTATATTACGGTTATTACATGCTTCTATGACGAATTTTGCACCACTAGCAATTTTTTTTTCATTTTCAAAAACCTAGTTGTCTAACTGACAAATTCTATAGTAAATATGTGTGTAAATGTGGCTACACAAATTTACATTTATTGGATCTCATTTTATGTGCAAATGGATAGTGTTTTAATCAATTGGATTTGTATGTGTGTGTGTGTAAATGATTCCGAATTTGAAGAAAAAAAATTTACCTGTAAAAAAAAGAGAGACTATTTTTTGTCACCACCACATGTCATCAAACAATATTGCGTGATCTAGTTTGTGTGTGTGTATATAAATGATTTGTTGCACACGAAAATTTTTTGGTTTTTTCTTTTCTTTTGTCGAGTAATTTGTTTTGGTTTTTTTTTTTTTGGTTTATTGACTAACTAATGATCGATGAAATCTGAAACCAACTTGATAATTTGCAACTTATTGACATTGGCAGGAATTTTTTTTTTCTATTGTCGTTGCTAGAACTGTGCATTTATTCAATGCTGAATAATCAGTATGGAATCAAGAAAAAAAAAATTCATTTTCAAACTAACCAACCTTGGGTAAAACATATCACTCAGATTCAACGTCCAAAAAAAGTTCATTTCTCCATTTGCGACTATCCAAGTACAATATATCAAAACTCTTGCATTTTTTTTCCAATTTTTTTTTTAAATTTTTTTCCTCTCTTTATTTCGACTAAACAAACAATAACGACAAAAAAAAACTTCACTTGCACTGTATTTTTGTGGATCATAATTTTCATAACTTTACGAATCAAACCTCATATATGTCGTTAATAGTTTTTTTTTGTCTTTGAGAATCCAAACAACAACAATCAGCTTTTCAAAAACTTTTCACTTTAAAAGATACTTTTAGACATTTTCAATGATTTCCTTTTATTTTTTTTTGTTATTGTTACTGTCACCGTTGACAACGGCGACGATGATGATGATTTTGATAAAACAACAACAAAGACTTTGCGAATTTTAAAATTTTAATGAATGAATGAATGAAAAAAAGTCTCAATAACCGAAATTTCACAGAAATTCTTTAACTGAATATATTCTGGATAAATATATAGAATATGATAACTATTTATTATTATTATTTTATTTTTGTTAACATTTCATATTTGAAAAAAATGAGAAAAAAAGGTGAATTCATATTCTTGGATGTTCCATATATTAGTAGTATATATAGTATATGTACCTAGTATAATATGCTTTCAATTTCCATTTTATGGAATATAAAATTCTAGTCACGTGAAACGATCTTAAATACGATTATTGCATCCAGTATTTATGTGTGTGTGTGTGTGTGTGTGTGTGTGGTATGAATTGTTGAATTTATGATTCCTTTTCGATAGTTTTTTTTTTGGTCCGTTGGTCATTCATTCATTTATTTTATTTTGGTTGAATTTCGGTTTTTTTTTATTTTTGTTGTTGAACAAACATTCATTTTTTTTTTTTCATTGTATATACAAAATGATAAGAATGTCATGTTCTAACACATTGAATTCTTGAATGAATATTTCTCCAATGTTGAATGATTCATTCAATGGTTATTTTTGTTATTGTTGTTGTTGTTGTTGTTGTCGTTGGTACACATACATTCTCAAATGATACAAATCCTTGAAGGCATGTTGAAATTGTTTGTTTTCTTTTTTCTTCGTCATTCGAGAAACAAGAAAAACACTTTTGGAATATTTAATCGAAAAATCAAGCACGAAATCTGGACCAAAAACAAAAACAAGAACATTTTTCTGGCCACAACCCCTTTTCGTCTTTTCCATAAAGATTTCTAATGTTTATTGTCATTATAAGTCTCATATAATAATGATAATAACAAATAGCCACAGGAGACAATTGAAAACTTGTCAAATATTGTTCCAATAGTCGTTATATAGTAGTCGGAAGATATATAAAAAAAACTATCCATCACTAGATGTAGATGTACGTTTTTCTCTGATAATAATTTTCTACTCAATGGACATTGAAAACAGTATTTTATTTTATTTTTCTTTTTTTTTTACTTCGTATTTGCCGAGAGATCGAACTTTGAAATAAAAAAAAATCCTGAATCCCGAAGAAAATCGTTACTAATGATGATGACGATTGTACAGTTTGTACATACACATTTTTTCTTCGCGTAAAATACTAAGAATCTCTCGGGTCACACACACACACACACACACACAACACACAACAAACAGACACACACACACATACCAAAACTCACGTATATATCATTGATGCGATTGCCGTTTAGTTTGATGGCCAAACGTGTATGTATTTCGGGTATTTCTAAATTTTTTTTCTTCTCCTTTCCATATAAACAAGACTTGGATTTTTTTTTCTTTGGTTTGGGCACCATTTGGCACATCTGCTGCTCGATTGATGCCTGCTGTTCGTTCATTTGAATCATTTTCCAGCCATTTGATTCTTCGATTGGAAGTGATTCTTTTTTTTACATTTCTCATTCCCATCAGAAAAAAAGACGATTCAATTTTTGATATATTCTTTCTTGATTCTTTCCTGTTCAATATATCTCTTTTCGTTTTTTTTATTCTAGAATTTCTAGAATTCTTATTTTTATTTTATTTTCAAAATTCGGTTTTTTTATTATGACTTTACAAGGTTCTTTTTTTTCATTCATCGAACCGATGAAGACGATGAACCTTTACCGAAAGATTCCATTTTCAACTACCAAATACCATACACTTACACATAAGAAAAACCACCAGCCGTTACACGAATCGGTTACCATTTGAATCATTTTTCTCAATCGTATCTTCAGAAGAAGAACACTAGACACTTTCATACACTCTTAGTAGTTTCTTCCTTCCTGTCTTTGTGTGTGTGTGTGTGTGTTTTTCTTAAAGACGGCAAACATCTTCACTCGAACAAAACGAACCGATGAAACAGAAACATTTGTGTTGCCCCATTTACTAAACTCGTAAATTTCAGTATTTGGTTCGATATGATGATTTGTTGTTGTTCACGTCCGTTTGTCTCTCTGTCTATCCAGTAAATTATATGAATTCCATTGATAATGATAATGATGGCCCTCATCATCATCATTGATATTGGTTGGCTCAGATGTTTCAATTTGTTTGCTCTCTCTCTCTTTTTTACTTTCGAGACCACCTAATTTAGACTTGATTCTTTTTTCCTGAAAAAAAAGAAACGAATGATTCGAAAATAAAAAAAAGGATAAAAATATAAATCAATTCCTGAAAATTTCGGTTTGCCGTTTAACCGAAAGAATTTTTTTAATTCCAACAAAATCTGTTCAACTGCAAATTTTATCTGATTTTTTCTATTCATTCACTGATTAAAATTTCAAATACTGATTGATTTTTCTGTTGAAATAAGATTTCTTTTATTGACTTTTTTTCATGATTCTGTTGATCGATTTTGATTAGGTACCGGGAATTTTTTTTTCTTTCGAATCAAGTTGTCATTTGTAATAACTTGTATTGATTTATTTATCTATTTTATATATAACCGTTATAATTACTAGCTGGATGATCGATCACTTTTCAATTATAATTTATCACACATAGACTAGCTGAATTTTTCATCAAATCAAATGATGAAGAATGTAAACACAAATTCATACACATATCATTCATTCATTCATTCATTCATCAACAGCTAATATTTTGATGTCCAAAAAATAATCTAAATCTAAATACTTATATATATGATAATAATAGTTATCTAAAAAAGAAACGAAAAAAAAACCAAATGATATTTTTTTGTCACCAATGAATCAATTTGATTCCAAATACATTACATTGTTTACGTTGACATTCTGTGTTTTTTTTCATCATATAAGTTATATGTTGGAATTTGTAATCGATTTGTATTGAACAAATGAAAATAAAATCGATACATATGTCATTTTTATAAATCTACAAACATATGGATACCAAGAAACTTGTATCGGATCACTAATGTAATGTAATGTTTCATTGATTCTTTTCAATATATATATAGATATTAATATGATTTCAATTCGTTTGCAATCATTCGGTTTCAAACATTTCAAAAAAAAACAAACGAAGATATTTTGCTTTATATCTTGTATTTTATGTGTGTGTATGCGATATCGCAATTTGAGAATTGAATCAAATGTAAACGTTTCACGACAATGATTGTCATCATCATCTAGAATCTAGATCTAGATTCTGGAACAGATCTTTCCCACAATATAGATGATGATGATGATGATGCCATGACATAGAATGACAACAACAACAAAAAAAAACGAAACAAAACGAATTTTGAAACTTAAACGACAATGACGATCATTTTGATGATGATGATGATGATGATGACAAAAAATTGAAAATATTTTCACACACAATCAGAGACAGATATAAGCAAGCAGGCAAACAGACAGGCAAATAGAATGAAATTTTTTTTTTTATTCCATCACACATATAGAATTATATTCTTTTTTTTATACATTGTGTGTTGTTAATGTCGTCTTTGTCATTTTATTTTTTTTTTTTTTCGTTTTGTTGGTTTGAAAAAATAACTATTCGTACTGTTTATGTATGTGAGTGTGTGGTAAGGCCCGCTGTTATGTGTTGAAAACGACGACTACGACGACGAACAACATTTTATTTTTCAACAACCAGAAAAAAACGACATTTAAATTCCCGTTTTTTTTCCTGGTTATGAAAAAATACAAAATTTTATCCCCTCCACACCACCACCATGATGGATCAGAAAAGAGGCAGGAAATTTTTTTTTTATTTTCTCTTTTGCCCCTCTCAATTCTTGTATCCATATTCGGTAGTGATACCATTCTCTGATCGTTCGTAGATTGTTGGTCGGTCGGTTGGTTGGTTGGTTGTTGTCATTTTATTTTTATTTTTATTTCTTTTTTTTCTGGCTCATTCATATCAAAACATTGAAAAATCAACCGACCAAAAATTCCAAGTTGGACGACAAAAAAAAATGGCATTGATGATGATCATGACGACCAAAACATTTCAAAATGCTTTGATTCGTGTAAGTAATACACTTTTTTTGTAAGTGGATATCAGATTTTTGTTGTTGTTTATTCTTCTAGAATCTAGATGAATCATGGTTTCTGAAATCAATGATGATGATA